TATCAGCACAGAGTTAAAAGACACAATGTGTGTAAATGTGAAGTGGATATATGCACTGGCAGGTTGATAAAAAACAAAAACAAAAGTGTCTGAACACTTGTTACCCCTCATGGTACACAGAAAAAAGTTGCTTAAAAGGTTGCTTTAAATTTGCGTCATTCAGATGTGTACATCAGGTCAACATGAATGAAACATGTTACATCAACACAATTACTCTGGATAAGTACTTAATCCATTTGTGTGGCACTGATGCACATGTGAATCTTTTCATCAGCTTTTTTCAGTATAGGTGTACAGTAGCTGTGCAGTGTATCCTCCCCCCACTGCCCCATTTATCATTGGTCAGTTTGTGACAACAGGACCACTGTTGTTCAGTTATTACAACCCCATTTCCAAAGAAGTTGGGATGCTGTGCAAAATGTAAATAAAAACTAAATTCAATGATGTGCAAATCATTAAAACCCTATATTTCATTGAAAATAGTACAAAGACAACAAATCAAATGTTGAAACTGAGAAATTTTATTGTTTTTTGAAAAATATTTGCACATTTTGAATTTGATGCCAACAACACGTTCCAAAAAATTTGGGACGGGGGCAAAAAAGGGCTGGTAATGTTGTGTTATGCTAAAAAACACCTGGTGGTTGATTGACAACAGGTCAGTAACATGCTTGGATATAAAAGAGCATCTCAGAGAGGCGGAGTCTTTCAGAAGTAAAGATGAGGAGGGGTTCACCACTCTGTGAAAGACTGCACCATCAAATAGAGCAACAATTCAAGAATAACGTTTCTCAACATAAAATAGCAAAGAACTTTAGCTTTTCATCATCTATGGTATATAATAACATTAAAAGACTCAGGGAATCTGGAGAAATCTCTGTATGTAAGGGACGAGGCCAAAAACCAGTATTTGCTGGCCGTGATCTTTGGGCCCTCAGACAGCACTGCATTAAAAACAGACATGATTCTGTAGTGGAAATCACTGCATGGGCTCAGAAACACTTCTGAAAACCACTGTCTGTGAACACAGTTCATCACTGCATCCACAAATGCAAGTTAAAACTCTAAAATGCAAAAATGAAACCAAATTTAAACAGGATCCAGAAATGCTGCCACCTTCTCTGGGCCCGAGCTCATTTGAAATGGACCGAAGGGAAATGGAAAAGTGTCCTGTGGTCTAATAAATCAACATTTGAAATTCTTTTTGGAAATCATGGACACTGTGTCCTCCGGGCTAAAGACCACTCAGCTTGTTATCAGTGCACAGTTCAGAAGCCAGTATTCATGATGGTATAGGGGGCATTAGTGCACATGGTATGGGTGACATGCACATCTGTGAAGTACCTGGAGGAAACCCACTCAGACACAGGGAGAACAGGCAAACTCCACACAGAAAGGACCCTGGTCACCCGGCCGGGAATCAAACCCAAGCCCTTCTTGCTGTGAGGCGACAGCACAGACCCAACGGGCCCGTCCTTTCCGTCTTTCCCATCTCTGCCGGGCAGGCCTTGTGTCCAGGCGTCTGATCGCCGGCTACCGAAATCAGGAACTAAGAAGTGAGACGCTGTGCTTGAACGGTGGCATCTCACAGTCACTGCTGACAACCAGAGCAAAACCTGAGGAAACGATCTGAGACGAGCAACTGAGACATTAATTATAATATTTCACATGATTGAGCAACAGCATCCCATCATATTTATCAAGCAAACCTACCTGCACCTAAGCCTGACTGGAAGCAGAATGAGTGATAAAATACAGAGTTTGACCTTGATTTCCAGTCAGCAGTGTTGCACCATCAAACGGGAACATCTCTGGCTAACAAGTCACAGAAGTTCATCGTATTGAATAAACACAGAGGCAAACAAAAACAGGACAAGGCCAGATTCAGTTAAAAGGTCCACTGAACGCAGCACGTACACAGACACTTCTGTTTTTATATATTAATGTAAACTGAAAAAAACTACAAAAACAGTAAAAGGTTAGGCAGCAAGGGTGGCAGACAAAACTCGTTAATCAACAGTAAAAGTATGTTTTCTTATTGGTCGATGTGTGTAAAATTAAATTTCTAAGAATTTCATTTCTTAGAAATGTTGCCTTTTTACTGTAATTCAACAGTTTCTCTAGTTTAACTAGTTATTCTGACATACCAAGTTTTACCATCATAATAACATTAACAGCCATTAAAATCAACACAAACATCTGTGAAATAAACTTGATCATTTGTTTTTGGAAATTTACTTCTATTTCTGTAAATTAACAGCAGTGTTCAAATACAATATATGTACTGTTTATTTACATGCATTTAACCTTCAGTCTGATGATTCTATAGTGGAAATCACTGCATGGGCTCAGAAACACTTGTGAAAACCACTGTCTGTAAAAACAGTTCATCACTGCATCCACAAATGCAAGTTAAAACTCTAAAATGCAAAAACGAAACCAAATTTAAACAGGATCCAGAAATGCTGCCACCTTCTCTGGGCCTGAGCTCATTTGAAATGGACTGAAGGGAAATGGAAAAGTGTCCTGTGGTCCGATGAATCAACATTTGAAATTCTTTTTGGAAAACATGGACACTGTGTCCTCCGGCCTAAAGACCACTCAGCTTGTTATCAGTGCACAGTTCAGAAGCCAGTATTCATGATGGTATAGGGGGGCATTAGTGCACATGGCATGGGTGACGTGCACATCTATGAAGGCACCATTAATATTGAATGATATACACGTTTTGGCAACATATGCTGCCATCCAGACGACGTCTTTTTCAGGGAAAGCCTTGATTATTTCAGCAAGACGATGTCAAACCACATTCTGCATGTATTACAACAACATTATTTTTCAAAAAACAATGAAATTTCTCAGTTCAATACACTTGGGCATGTTGTTAAACCATGCATTTCACTGTGGGCAGCTTTTTCCACTTCAACCCAAAGATGCTCAAATAGGCTGAGATCTGACTGTGCAGGTGCAGAATACAGGGGGTCTGGGGGTCTGAGTCCTTCTAATTAACCTCTTAGACCCTTCTGAATGTCTCAAAAGCAAAATTCTGGGGGGGTCCCTGAAAATAAACGTTATGACATCATGCTGTCTATTGTTTCCAATCTCATTGTTTATCTGCTTCACCCATAATCAGCTTCTGTGTTTGGTCTTCTTAACTAATTCGAGCTGCAGCACTGCTCTGCCTCAGGGTGGCGCTGTAGCAGACTGGAATTAGCCCAGAATTAGGGTTGCCACTTTTTCAACAAGCCAAAACTGGACATCCCTAAGCCCCAACACACTCAAAACATTCAAAATAACAGTTTCACACTGCTGCAGGTTTTCAGTGAATTTGTTGCTTTATCATTTGATCAATTGAAAAGTGTTTTTCTTGAGTAAGAAGTTCAGCAGACGCTGACTGGTTCATGGAAAACTTCCATTTAGTTGATCTGAAGTTTGATAAGCTCTGATTGAAGAAATGCCATCATGTTTGGTGATAAATGAGAAATGACACCTCTGCATTCTGCATATGTTGAATCGTTTGGATCTCAAGCCTTGAATTCTTCATTTTGAAACCATTCTCCTTGGAAAGAGCAGTAGCGCTTTTTTGAGGATTTCTTTCTTGGTCATTTTTTGTGCTTCTTTGTTTTAGACAGGTGCCATAACTTGTGGTAGCTCTCTTTATAATTGGCCATGGTGTTTTACACTAGCAAAATAAAACTGCTCCAATTTAAACATTTCAGCACGATATTTACAGACACGACATTCAGAGTCCTTTAAACTTCAGCAACACTTCAGCCTCAAAATCCTCATCAGTGACCCTGACTCTGTTTGGGGTGAGAATCAGGCCTGAATAATCTCTCCACTGCTGCAGAGCTGCTGCGGCTCCACAGCAGAACTAGATAAACATAATAAATAAAAAATAACATAATAATCCTCCTCAGTTTTCACAATTAATGGTCTTAAACACTGGAGTTAACGCAGAACTGCTAATTCACCAACTTTAACGCTGAAGACTGACACGCAGACTGCTGGTCACCATAGCAACGCAGATAACGAAACGGCAAAGAGAGAGATTTAAGACGAACATCGATAGTTTGGAGATGATTGGACTTATTTGCATTTATAGTCACTCAGCTGGTTTCCTGATACATTTAATCTGCAACAACTGGCGAAGCCGAAGTCGATTTCTCATTCTCCAGCTTCTTGTTGAATTGTCCCGTTCCACCTTAAATGGCGCAGCAGAATGGAGAAGCAGGAGAATGAGAAGCGACTTCAGCCTCGTAAAAAGTCGAACAGAGACATTTTACAAGAAGCTCGCGGAAAAGTTTCCTGCCGGAGATGTGAGAAAAGCGGCTACAGTTGACCTAAAGCTTAAAGCAGAGCAAAGTGCGTCTACAGCTATTAGCTACATTTCACGAAACTGTAGCGGCTACAGCTACAAAAATTTGTAGTTAGCTACACAAAGTAGCGCGCTACTTAGCTACCGCCCCATCCCTGCACACATCGAGCACAATGACTCTTGGACTCGTGCTGCTTATCTCAAATTTGGTCCTTCCTTCAGAATGATGCAGAAGGAACCTGGATTCAAGGTTGATTTAACACGAAAGGTAACATGGCCAACCACCCTTGGATTCAACCCACTTCTCAACAATCTTGTGCTGATGCTCCTCTGACCACTGGGGATGAACTTTCTTGTTCTTAAATGACAACATGGACACTCGACCTGGTCGCTGGTTGTCATAGCCCATTCACAATCAAATTTCCAACTTCACGAGTTGACGAGGACGTCACAATGTGCAAGGTAAGGGCTAAAATTCAGTTGCACCACCAATTCGTGGGAGAGATACATATTTAGTAACTACTAAGCTCAGCATAAAAAGTAGCTTGTGTCATGCAACCCTTTTCGATTTAGATTAAATGCTTCTGATATAACTAGCCTCCAGTCACTTGTCCACTCCCCTGACCTTTGCCTCTCACAAACATCCAAACTGAGCATGTGCAGTTTAAGGTCTTCTGGTCAGTTAAAAGGACCCTCCTGTTCATCAGACCAACAGAAAGAAGTCAGTCTTGGTGTGGTAATCGTACCAGCAGAATTCTAATCATGAGGTTGGTTCTGTATTTTGTCTCATTGTGGATCTCTGCATGGAGCACACAGGCTCAGGACCTCATGACACCAACTATAGACATTCTTGGGGAGCTGGTGAAACTCAGGAACATGGAGGAAAAGCTAAAAGCCATGGAGAACGAAATACAGGAGCTCAGGAGAGAGAAAGCAGGTAGGCTTTCAGGGATTTGGTGGTGGAAATGTAGGGTGTGAAAGAAGCAAAAGCCACTACTAAGGTGTTTGTTAGTTTTCACTGAGGACATAAATGAAGTGTCAAATATTTCAGCTTAACCTCTTAACATGGGATTAAATGTAGATACTGACATTGGTAATTACAACTGGGAGCTGGTCTATTGAAACACATATGATTGTACACCAGTTAGACAACATTCTGACCACCTCCTTGTTTCTACACTCACTGTCCATTTTATCAGCTCCACTTACTATATAGGAGCACTTTGTAGTTCTACAGTTACAGACTGTAGTCCATCTGTTTCTCTGATACTTTGTTACCCTGTTCTTCAGTGGTCAGGACCCCATGGACCCTCACAGAGCAGGTACTATTTGGGTGGAGAATCATTCTCAGCACAGCAGTAACACTGAGTGTATCGGTGTATGTTTTTCATTATGTTACAGACATTTTGATCTGAAGATTTCTGCTTAAATCCTTGGAATTTGTTTCTTATCCGCCTGTGCCCTACATGATACCTGGTACCTCCACTCGTCCAGTTGCATCATATGGCACAGACTGTCATTGCTAGACATCAGTGGTCATTTTCCTGCAGTTTTTAGTCCCAACCTGCATCTAACATGCTGCCCCCCCACTTAACACTATTGCATGTGATCCAGCCAATCAAGAACTTCTGTAGAAGTTAATTAGCTGGAGTAGGTGAGGCAGACTGTGGTTGGAACTAGACTCCACTGGAAAGAAGATCTCCAGGGTTGGTGACCACTGCACAGTACACAGTGGCACAAGCAGAATGGGATCACAAGATCTGTTCTGTCCTTGGAACATGGCCAACACTCCAAAGAGCCTGAACAGAAGGGTGACAAATCAGTATAATCCAAACAGGTTGGCAACAACAGTATCTGCCATTAGCCCTTGGTCAAATACAGGGTCGTGTAAAGACGAGAAGAGAACAGCCGATCCAGAGGTTCACTGATTCAAGGAAAAGGTCAGGAATCAAACTTTGACACCAGGTTGACTTTATGATATTTAACACAGAACCCAACGTAAGCATCTGGCTTTGGGACAAGCTTGATGGGGCTGCTTGAGTAACTGTGTGATTTCTTGATTACACTCCAGAATTTTACGTAATTCACCTTAGACTACTTTATTCTTGTGTTTGGGTAGCTGCATGCAACCATTCCAGGGGTCTCTTAATGTGGTATCTATGAGGTCACTTTAGTTGGATGGGGAGAACAGGTCAGGAAATTCTGTTGGAGGTCTATAATATCTGCTCTCTGGCTTGGTGAGAGTTGCTTTTCAAAGGGTACCAGAGCAGGATTGGAGGATTTTGAGCACACAAAGAAACAGGTACATCCGCATTCTACTTCTTTAAGGAGCTTGAGGTGGTATATTTAACGTGCATCACCCCAGTCCATCCACATCACCTTATAGTCACCCACCCCTACTCAACCCCTGAGAGAAGTTAGGTGAATGGGAGTAGTGGACCCCCACAAAGAACTGCAAGGGGTTTTGCCTCTTTTTCGCTGTAAGCTAATCCAGTCTGTCTACAGGTTTCAAGCTAATGAAATCAGGATCAATAGAGACTCTTTAAGACAGTTCATTTTCATTTTTTACTGTCTGCCGTCTAACCTTTTTGGCGGCCGGAGGATATTTAGAGAGTAGCCCCAAACACATCATCCTGTGACCACACCCTAGCACATGGAACACCAAAGCAATCACCTAGCAACACCCTGACAACCACCTGGAGTACTATAGTAACTGGTCGTCTCAACAGTGAGGATGGGAGATTCAGAGAGAAATGAACCAACCTTGAAGTGTTGCTAGTTAAGGAGGGTTGATTTCACTAATTCATGACATTTTGCTAAATAGTATTAAACCCTCGTCAGACGTTCTGAGGGAGATTTGGGAAAAGGGCTTAGACCAACATATCTCAGAGGAGGACTGGCTCAATATTTGTAAAAAACCTGTTTTCCAGATGTCCCTCATGTAGTGTTCATGAACTTAACTTTAAATATATACTTCACACCTGTTCGCCTACAAAAGATGTTTCCAGACATCTAATTTGTGCTTTAAATGTAAAACTGGAAAGGGTTGTTCTTTCATGCCTTTTGGCAGTGTGAAAAACTGGCATTTCCTGGGACAGCACGCAGATCACGGCAGAAAATATCTTTCAAACATGGTTTCAGACGTCCCCTGCCATCCCTGTATCTTTTGGGAACAGGAGCAGAACATATTTCTGATCCTGATGGCAGTTTTTTGTTTCTAATGTTTTCGTTTCTGGCAAAAAAAATGTATCCTAATTCGATGGGCCGGCCCCTCTCCACTGTCTGTTGAGCAGTGGGTTTCTCAAGCTCCCACTCTGCTTCCCTTGGAAGAACTGACTTATGACCTATTTTACCAAAGAGACAAATTCTGAAACTGTGGACCCCCCTGTGGCCTTATGTAGAAAATCTTCCTTAAAATCCTCTGTATGTTGGCCAGTTGTGTGAGATCTAAATGTATGATTGTCTATATTGAATAATGTGCAATAAAAAACAGAAAAAGCAAAATAAAGACAGTAAAAAACAAACAATACAAACCAAAGAAAAGAAATAAACAGGACAGAAATGAGAGAACGTACGAGAGGGCTATGAGCTTACAGCAGAGGAGCAGTACTGAGTGAAGAGCTAAGATTTAAAAGAGGAAATGGATGAGCTGTCACAAATATGCTGGGGCAAGGAATTCCAGAGCTTAGGGGCCACAGCACTAAAGGACCGAATACCTCAAGAGGACAATCTAACCTAGGGGACAACCAACAGCCCAGGGCCAGAAGACCTGAACTGACTTAAAGGGATGTAGGACGAAGGAGCTGAGCTAAGTATGGAGGTGCCAGACCATGTAATGCCTTAAAAGTAATGAGAAGTATCTTGTGTTTAATACATGAAATAATGGGAAGTCAGCGTAATCGGTATAAGACAGGAGTGATATGTTTTGCACGTTTGTTGAGGGTGAGAACTCCGAATACTGAATATACTGCAGTATATTTAAGGTATGCAAAGGTAACTCAAGTTTTCAAATTATGTAAAAAAGTGAGATACAAAGCAGTGGCATGTTAGACAGTTTAAACATCATTCATTAAAAAAGTCATGCCAATTGGTCATATTTGGAAATAACACTCAAATGTAAGGTGTCTCAGGGTCAATGCAGGGGATTGCTATGGATATTATTAATTCCACCATAAATCCATGTTCATTTTAAACAGTTCTGATGACGATGGGTGAAATGAAAATGAACCTAATTATGAATGAAGTTCTGATTGAAACCTTATAATGCTGCTTATTTTCTCCTCAAAGCAAAAGGGCTCTCTAAAACATACATTTATATGTATATTTGTATATGTTCCCAGAGAAAAAGGTTGCCTTTTCTGCATCACTGTTGGCCTCTGGAGAGGGACACACTGGACCCATGAGCCCTGTGCCGTCACCACTGATCTACAAAAAAGTCTTCAGCAACTACGGAAACGGCTACGACTCAAATACAGGTACAGTAAACGGGAATTAGTATCAGGAAGGTCAATCAGTCAACCAATGAGCTGATCAGCTCACCAACCAATCAGCACTCAGTAGCAGTAATGCTAATCACTCAGCACTTATCAGCAGTAATGCTAACCAATAAGCATCACCCCATTCCAAAACCATCTGCATTAATATGGAGTTGGTCCCCCTTTGCAGCTCTAACAGCTTTCAGTCTTCTGGGAAGCTTCCTACAAGATGTTGGAGAGTGTCTGTGGGAATTCAGTCAAATGTTCATCAGTGAGCTTAGACACTGGGATCGTCATCCCAGTTCATCCTGAAGGTGTTTAGTGGGGTTGAGGTCAGGGCTCTGTGCAGGCCATTGGAGTTCCTCCACACCAAACTCGTCAAACGCTGTCTTTATGGAGCTGCTTTGTTTACAGGGTCTCAGTCATGCTGGAACAGAAAAGGGTCTTCCCCAAACTGCTGACACAAAGCTGGAAACATATAATTGCCTAAACCCTGAACAACAGCCCCAGCCCATTATTCCTCGCCAAACCCAGATTCATCCATCAGACTGACGGATAGAGAAGCTGATTCGTCACTTCACAGAACACGTTTCCACTGCTCCAGAGTCCAGTGGCGGCGCTTTACACCCCTCCAGCCGACGCTTGGCATTGCGCATAGTGATCTTAGCCTTGTGTGCAGCTGCTCAGACATGGAAACCCATTTCATGAAGCTCCTGACGTACAGTTCTTGTGCTGAGCTTGGAGCTCTGCAGAGTAGAGCATAAATGATTTTTACATGCTTTAAGTACAGCCACTCTGTGAGTGTGCATGATCTACCGCTTCGTGGCTGAGCTGTTGTTGTTCCTAGACACTTCCATTTCACAATAATACCGCTTACATGTGGCAAAGGTAAAGGCATCCAATGGTAGTGCATGTTTAAAGTGACTGAGCTCATCAGTATGACCATCTACTGCCATTGTGTGTCTGTGGAGACTGTGCTTAACTGTGTACACCTGTCAGCAATAGGTGCAGCTAAAACACCTGAACTCAGTAATTAGGAGGGGTGTCCACATATTTTTGGCCATATCATGTAAAGAAACTTATCAATAGGCAGCTAACACATCACCTTGATGTAAGCAGTATCCTATCAGGGATGCAGTATTATTATATGTGCACTACATACCAAGCAACATGGTGCAGCAATATTTATTGATTAGCTTAAGCGTTTGATTCTGTTAATATCTTACTAAACAGATTGAGCAGTATTGGGGTTTTGGATCACTTTTTGGCTTGGTTCTACCTCTCTCATAGGGTACAGTGTGTTAAATTGGATACTTGTCTTTCTCATCCTCTTCATGTTACTAAAAGTTCCCCAGGGCTCAATATTAGGTCCTACTCTATTTATTAACAACATTCCTCATGCTGCTCGTAATTCGTTTATTTACTTATATGCTGATGACAAAGCCTTGTTTGCCACTGGTCCTTCTCCTGCATCAGTAGTAACACTACTCCAGGAGAGATTCCTCCAAATTCATCAGGCTTTCAATAACCTATTTTTCATTGAACCCCACCAAGACCAAAGTTATGTGGTTCGGTCGGAGGGGTGCGGAACCCACTACTTCTCTTGAGATCACCACTAGGGAGGGAATGGTCTTGGAACCGGACATCACTTACAAGTACTTAGGAATCTGGTTAGACAGTACATTATCTTTTGTCCAGTTTCCAGGCAAAACTCTTTTTTTTTTATATATATATATAGAAATAGCTCTTTGTTCCACGGTTTGATTATGTTGACATCAATTATAGATTTGCATCCAAAAGTTTGCTTCAAAAGCTTGACCCTCTCTATCATTCTGCTTTATGGTTAGCTACAAACACCCCTTTCAAAACACATCACTGTGCTCTTTATTGATTGGTTAAATGGCCGTCTTTGACTGCTCAACGTAAAATTCACTGGTTTATGCTCATCTATAAAACTTTGCTTGGACTTTCACCGCCTTATTTATGTGAGCTACTGCAACCAGAATCTGCTACATATAACACCATGTGTGTATTGTGTGTTTGTGACATCTTCTTTCCCTTTTCTCTCTTACAAGTGTCTTGTGGCTCTCGCCAGGCTGCCATTGTAAATAAGAACATGTTCTTCATGGCTTTCCTGGTTAAATTAAAGGCTAAATAAAATTTTAAAAATCAACAGGGGTTCTGTCTACCAGATTTAAAATGAGCGTCTCAGCTAAACCATCAGGCTATGAAGCTTTTGGTAATGTGGGCGATCATTTTAAACTGTGCTCTGTATAGCAATGGCCACTCTGTTCGCCAAGGGCTTTTTCACCAGTATTTATCCACATTGCTGAACTTCTAATAGCAGTGCACTGAATTTGATGGGGAGTTTGAGATCAACAAGGTGCTGCAGCACGAACAGAGATTTGAAACGTTAATGGAATTCCCCTTTAACCCTTTCTTGAAGATTTACTGTGGAATTTGTGTGTAAATGTGTGTAAAAGCAGCTTTAGTGTTTTTATCCTGTTTTCTGAACGTCTGGTCTGATTCCTCTCTCTCTCTCTCTCTCTCTCTCTCTCTCTCTCTCTCTCTCTGTCTTTTTCAGGGATTTTCACTGCTCCGATTAAAGGAGTTTACTTTTTCAGGTTTTACGCTCACTGTCAGGGTGGCAGGAAAATGGCTGTCAGCCTGTACAAAAATGATAAGCTGCAGTGCTCTGTGTATCATTGGAAGGTTGTGTTCAACACCAACGCCAGCAATGGGATTGTTCTGACTCTGGAGAAGGAAGATCAGGTCTACACCAAGCTCTGGGAGGACAGCTGGGTGTACGATGATCCAGCTGGCTACACAAGTTTCAGTGGATTTTTGCTTTTCTCTCTTTAATTGTAAACCTGAAATTCTGAAACGTCATAGATTCAGCATTTACATCGTATGACAGCATTTACATTACGCCTTAATTTGTGGGTGTGGGTTATATGGCAGGGCTTACAAGCAAAAAAAAAGAATTGAATCATAAAGGGAATGTATTTCTCAGAACCTGGTAATAAAGTCTGTAGGTGTACAGTTACAGACTGTAGTCCATCTGTCGCTGTACAGTTTGTTTCGCCCATGCATCATTGGTCAGTTTCTCACCACAGGTCTGCTGTTGTTCAAATATTATTTGGCTGGTGGTCCATTCTCAGCCCAGGAGTGGTCAGAGACCACTGAAGAGCATTACTTACACAAACTGTACCAGCAAGGTGGAGGCGTTTCTGATAAAGTGGCCAGGGAGCGTGATAAAGAAAGTCTTGTATGTGCTTTGCTCTTTCAGTAAATGTAATGTTAGATAACCTGCATGTGGTGTGAGATTCAGGGAATTAACTTTTACTTACACAAGATTAAACAAACTAATATTAAATATTAAACACTAAATATGTATTTTTCTGATTGATTTTACACAACATGACTACTATACACATAATAAAACGGACTGCTTCATTAAAACATGACTCCTGTGAATCAATACAATGTTCGTTTGATAGAAACATTTCGGTCACAGGTCTCAAAGTACCTTCACTTCACGTAATTATTTTTTTGCTTGCTAACTTGATACGTATTCAAACAGGCTCTAATAAAGTAGGGCCTGGTTGTGTGGTATTAGCCTTCCATGCACAAAGAATTATTTTTATGCTGAAATATAGTAGGTAGTAGTTTTTCTAGTGAGTAACTAGTGGGAATTCAGTTTTACCTCCTGAGGAATCTATTTTGATAAATCATAACACAACATCAATATATTCAGTACCGTTCCCCTTCATTTGTTTAATTTCCAGTCAAAACAGCCATTAAGTACAAGTTATTCATTTTTGAGCATCACACAAATTAAGGATAAAAATAATACAGCTAAATCTACTCTCAGCTGTGAGAGTCAGTGAGTCACTCTTCACCTTAATTCCAGCTTCCTTTCTTCTCAGGAGCCTCACTTTCAGCTCCTCAAAGAATCTGCAGACACACCTCCAAAGTTCAGTCTTAGAAGCTGGTTGATCATTTTCTGAAGTAATCAAACACATTCAGGGGTGTTGAGGTCTGGACTCTGGGGTGGTCAGTCCATCGTTCAGCTTCTTTGTTTGATGTGTCCGTCTCCTTTTCTCAGTGAGGTTCTTCTTGACAGCTACACATCCTTTCAGACCCACAGCGCTGAGTCGTCTTCTCACAGTGGAAGGATGGACAGAAACACCTGTGGATGTTTTCAGATCTGATCAGCTTGATTTTCTCCTCTCTCTCAGAGATGAAAGCTTTAAGTGCTGTTTATCTGATGGGGGCAGTTTTGGGGTCTGCCAGCTCTTCCAGATGGTTGTTAGGAGCCTCACTTTCTCTGTAGCTTTTAATCAGTTTTTGAACTGCAGTTTTGAAAACAACTGGTTTTTCACCTTGACTGTCTCCTTATTCATGCAAGTGATTATCTTATATTTAATCTTATATATAATCTCCTGAAACACTACAAACTTGTGCTTAATGGTAAACTAGTGACTGCAGGAGCAGGACTGAGTAAAACTGGCTTAGCCACCCTCTGCTGGCCATGAAGTCACTCAGACAGGAGCTCATATTCTGTTCATTACGGTAATCAGCCCTGAAGAACACAGGACTTTCAGGAAGTGGACGTTCCCTCAGAAATCTGCCTTCAGCTCCACAGCAGAACTCAGACGGTGAGTTCAGACAGTTTACTGGAAACACTTCAAAGCATTAATGAAGCTGATTATTCTCTTTTATAGCTTTACATAAAAGCATGCAGTTCCTCATCCGGCTCCTCTGTTTACTCATGTGTGCTGCCATGGTTCTGAGTCCAGTTCAGCTACTATCCATGCCTCAAACACAAGGCCAGTGGGCCACGTCAGGCTGTGGCACAATCCTATTCAGCCTGCAAAACCATTTTAATGTTCTATTAATATTATCCCATTACACCTTGAACTGCACTGCAGTTCCCAGCATGCACTGCTATATAATGTGTGCCCCCCCCCAAGAGTGATCTAAGGGACTGCACCAGAGAACTTGTATAGAGAGGAGAATTCCTGCTCTGTAATGTCTTCTGGGTTTCTCAAACACTAGAGGGCGCTCCCAAGCGAGTCTAAAATGAATGGGTTAATATGGGGCATTTGAGCAAAATCATAGTTTATAAATGCTTAAACATTTTAATATAAATGAATATATTTATTTCCTGAACACAGAGCAGAGTAAGACATTTTAACACTGCTGTTAAATTTTTAAGAGCTTTTAAACTCGAGTTATAAGGGTTTAAAAGGCGCTTTATGTACATTCATGACGTCAGTAAGTGCGAACAGCCAATGAGCTGTTCTGCTTGCCAGCCAATCAGCACTCAGTAGCAGTAACGCTAACCGATCAGCACTCAGTAGCAGTAATGCTAACCAATCAGCGCTCAGTAGCAGTAATGCCAACCAATCAGCACTCAGTAGCAGTAATGCCAACCAGTCAGCGCTCAGTAGCAGTAATGCCAACCAATCAGCGCTCAGTAGCAGTAATGCCAACCAGTCAGCACTCAGTAACAGTAATGCCAACCAATCAGTGCTCAGGAGCAGTAATGCTAACCAGTCAGCACTCAGTAGCAGTAATATTAACCAATCAGCACTCAGTAGCAGTAATGCTAACCAATCAGCGCTCAGTAACAGTAATGCCAACCAATTAGCACTCAGTATCAGTAATGTTAACCAATCAGCAGTCAGTATCAGTAATGCTAACCAATCAGCACTCAGTATCATTAATTTTAACCAATCAGCACTCAGTAGCAGTAATGCTAACCAGTCAGCACTCAGTAGCAGTAATGTTAACCAATCAGCACTCAGTATCAGTAATGTTAACCAATCAGCACTCAGTAGCAATAATGCTAACCAATCAGCACTCAGTAGCAATAATGCTAACCAATCAGCACTCAGTAGCAGTAATGCTAACCAATCAGCACTCAGTAGCAGTAATGCTAACCAATCAGCACTCCGTATCAGTAATGTTAACCAATCAGTACTCAGTAGCAGTAATGTTAACCAATCAGCACTCAGTAGCAGTAATGTTAACCAATCAGCACTCAGTAGCAATAATGCTAACCAATCAGCACTCAGTAGCAGTAATGCTAACCAATCAGCACTCAGTAGCACTAAAACTAACCAATCAGCACTCAGTATCAGTAATGTTAGCGTCCTGCTGCCCGAAACCCGTTTGCTGTAGAATAAAGGAAACATTCAGGTGAGTTTTCTTTGCTTTTTTAGTGAAATTAATTCTTCTACTATCTAAAACTAAAGGAAAGTTCTGATTCAGTGATTAGAAACTATTTTAACCTTTTGTTTTTAGCCATTGAGCTCCATTCATTCCCATTCATTGAGGGCTGGCTCGTGGGCGCCCTCTAGTGTTTTGCAGTTCTTTTTGATCTAACGGGGAAAATAGGAAGTGGTCAGGCTCCTCATAAACCGGCTCTGACTGCAACACAAAAACAAAACAAAAAATAAAGGTGCCAAATGTCTATCTGAAGTGAATGGGCAGTTTAAAAAACCTTCTGTCCACTGGGGACATTTGAAGAGGTTTAACAGTTTTCTAATGTAGTCTACTGTTTTATATAAAACAGTTTGTTTTTATTCAAAATTGTTTCTGAATCGTTCAGGTATTAGGTAATAGTGCCTATTTTTTTTCCATTGTAGTTTTGGCATATTTAAAAAAACAACGGCCAGTTGGGGTCGTGGCAAAATATTATATAAAAATAAAAATTAAGTAAAAAGCAAAGAAGAAACAGTGATGAGTCTGATGGTGAAGTGAGGACTGTGTTCAGATCTGAGTCTGAAGAGCTGCTGTGAAATGCGTCCTGCACGATTCACAAAGACCTCAAGTTCATTCAGAGTGGAGGCTGAAATTAAGCACCTTTCTTTCTTTCTTTCTTTCTTTCTTTCTTTCTTTCTTTCTCTACATTTTAGTTGGTGTGTGATGTAATCACTCTACTCTGTATCAGTGATCAATGATATGGTCAGTTTGCTGCAGGAGTTAGTTGAGCCATACTATATAAGGTACAAAGGTCTTTGCCACACCTTCACTGTTCTCTGCACATCAGAAGTTTGGGGACTCTTCCTTTGAAATCAGACACTTTGTGCTGTTTCTTTTTCTACTGATTTACAAACAAGACTAGGCAGAGCCCGGATTTGCTGGACTGCAGTGGGCTGCATGACATTTGTGTCATAAACGTGAGTTATTCTCGCAAAGACAAATACTTTGACCTTTGAAAAAATTCAAATATCTAAAGCTTAAAAACAAACTTAATTGATTTTAAATAGATTTTTAACATTTTCTCATTTAAGTGACCAAATTCATATTACCGCAATACAGATTTTAAAAAAGTGTAAATAATGCTTTTCATACTCTGAATACTATTGTGAGACTAAATGTTTTAAAGGTAATAAATAAAACATGCATATATACTTTATAAAATGTAGTGTTTTGCAGTTTTATCTCATTACCACAACACACTGACAGCCAGGTTTTTCTTTTGGTTCACTTCCTAAGAAAACATTACACAGAAAACACTAAAAGTAAATAGATTCAACAGATTCATATTTAAAAAAGCGAAAAGATCAATAAATATTGGTGTAAATATTGGTAATAAGGAAGGCAAATGTGAACACATTACGGTAATGAGAACTGGAGTGAAAAAGGACAAAAAAGGTAAAACCTGTTGCTGCACCATTTAGAGCTCCAGTTGATCTACAAAATTATATAAATATTATTGTATGCATCTCTACGACACTGAAATATTGATCGGCGTAGTTTGAGGCTGTTTTGTACTTACAGTACCGGATATAAACACACTTGCGTTATGTGCAGGGTGACCAATTAACATTCTAGTCTGCCTACCTGCAGTGTCCAGTATATTGTCCACTTTTTGTCCATTTTTTTGCGAGAAACTTTGTCAGTACATGTTTTCTCTAGTACTACTACTAATATGAAAATATGAAAAAATCAAAAAGACTAAAATGTGTGTTCTCTGGATTTCATATTTCTAACTGCTGTTGTGATGAATAAATCTATAAAGGCTGAATTAGTTAGGCTTAAATTATCAAACTCTGAAACTCTTATTAGCATAACAACAGATTCTAAGATGCGTTCTACTCGCACACACATTCACATTAACGTCTACAGTTACACAGAATTAGGACAAGCAGATTTATGATGTTCTCTTGAGAGTGTAAATAAAGGCAAGGCAAGTTTATTTATATAGCACCTTTCATGTAAAAGAGAAAAGAAACTAAAAACATGATTAAAACTCGATTAAGCCAATAGATTTGAAAGAGAAAATAACTAAATTAAAAATCAAATTAGAAATCAGATTATGAAAATTAAAAGCCTAATAAAAAAATTAAAAATTAAATCAGGCTAATAAAGTAAATATATGAGCAAAGAACACTAGCATATAGGCTAACAGTACTAGCAGCTTCCAAGTTAGCTAATGTTACGCTGTTGAACTCTTTATAAAGTCATAATTCTAAACACAGCGATCGACACATGAAAATACCGTTAAACATTCACATTCTGGTGCACTTAGTGGTCGTGCACTAGTGCTTGGTGACTTTATCCTCACCTGAAAGAGTGAAAAGTTGCGAAAAACACCATTTTCACTATAAAGTGAGAATTTCCTTCTGAAGTCAGAAGCAGCTTGAGATCAAATAAACACTGACTCAGCGCTGTGTCACTGCACCTGTTATTAGGTGCTATGCTTATGTTATGTTTGGGGTTTGAGTATGAAGTCACTTCAGTTAATAAGATGTATACTGCCACCTACTGTGCATGTTTCAACAATTGGTATCAATCAGTCAGTCAGTGACTCAGTGAGAGACAAGAACGAATCATAACAGCAAAAGTTTTGTTTACAAAAAAGATATATATTCCAAATGTTTGTGTATATTTATCTTCAGCACTCTTCACGCTCATCAGAGTATCTTCCTTGTCATAAATAGTGCGTCTAAACTCTGCCTTTTCCTCGAATTTGCAGCCTTGGACAGTGAGCGCTGTCTCTCCGTGAGGTTCCTGGGGTCAGAAACCTGAGAGAGATTGACCTCTCTACTCTCTGACCGCAGGAATGAAGCCACTGGCTCTGCTTCCGACAGATCTGACACCCGGTGAGGAGTCCAGGGGTCGCTCCAGCCGTACTGTTCCGAGCTTGGAGAACCGTATCCTGGCCCAGGCCTCATCCATTCTGTCCCAGCCTCTTTCCTCAGCTCCAGCACGACCAGCTCCAACCTCGTCCATCTCCTCCCCCTGTCCAGCTCTCCAGCCATCCCGACTCTCCTCCACCCAGCTGAAGCAGGATCTCTTCCAGTTCCCCTCTGTCTCCTCCTCTCTCCGCCCTCCTCACTCCCTCAGCACTGCACTGCAAAGCACAACGCCCCCTGCTGGAGGGCTTTCTGCTGGTGGGGTTTCTTCCAGTGGAACGTCTGTTGGAGGGCTTTTTTCTGAAGGACTTTCTGCTGAAAGGCTTTCTGATGGAGGGCTTGCGCCTGGAGGGCGTTCTGGCGGACTTTCTGCTGGTGAGGTTTCTGCTGTTGGACCTTCTGCTGGTGAGGCTTCTGCTGGTGGACCTTCTGCTGGTGAGGTTTCTGCTGGTCCTGACGAAGATCAGCCAAGTCTGGTACATAGAAAGAGAGTTTGGAAGCAGGTGAGCCTGTGCTCCACTAAAGATGTCCAGTCACGTAATGAGGAGTTGACCAAGGTATGTGGTTGAACATTGTGCTGGTGTTCTGGTTTTAAATGAAATCTGCATGTAACTATTTACTTAAATACTTAAATAGTTTTGTTAGTATATACCAGTTTTGATAAAAATAAACAAATAAACAGAATTAAAACACAAAATAATGCCAAGCCGTATTGTTTTTATGTTTTTAGCCAGAGTATTTTCGAAAACGTTTGTGTCTGTTGATAAATCTTAAGTGGAAGAATAAGAATTAATAATTGAAGTTTGTCCATTTCTGAGTGCAGTTATCATTATGGTGTGGCATGCGATTCGTAAGGGGTTGAAACAGTTATTCAGCTTTACCAACAATTTTGACAATTAAAAAATTGTGGACAAATATTTATGCTGTCCAAAGTAGAGTTCATGACTTAACCTGAAGGGGGCAGCTGTTCACCTGTAGGATTGAACCTGTGAGCAGGTGTAGAAATAAACGAAACAGTAATGACTGAAAGCTTAAAAGGAAGTAAAGTCTGGGAGCATTTTCTTAAAACAATGGACAAAATAGTCACACACAACATATCATTGCTGTCAGAACAAAACCTCGTATCTCCATTTTTGTTTTTTTGTTTTTCAGTTTCTGACATAATTTGAAAATGCCTGTTGTCCTTTACATTGTGTGTAAATTTCATGATGAATAAACCAAAAGAAGCGACCCAAAATGACTTGGAAAAAATTCTGGTTCCATTGACTTACATTAAAAGTAAAGTAGGTTTTTTCCTTCTGCTGTAAAGTTACCATTTTGGAGATACGAGGTTTTCTTCTGACAGCAGCGATAAGCAAGTCTATCAAGCCCACTTTCCACAGAAGCACAATGTTACCTTTAAAACACCTGGAGCATTAATGGAGCGATGCAGTGAGATATTAGAGGAGAATTTAATCTCATCTGCCAAGAAACTGAATCTGCAGAGAAGCTGAAGGTTTCAGGACCCCAAATATGCAGCCAGAATAACTCAAGACTGGTTAAAGGTGCTTGTGTGGCTTTACAACAGCTTGGCAACAAAGTACTGAAGTTGTTTATTTGTAGTGTCTGAATACTTTACCCTAATAATTTTGTTCCCTAACAAGTTTGTCTCCAAAACAACTTTGTTTTAAACATATCTTTGTTTATGCTTATGAAAACAGTATAAACATAACAGATTCACCCCCCATGCTTAACGCTTAGCAAGGTGTTCCTATCATCAAATGCTGCTCCTGTTTTTTTCATCTAAATATCCCTTTGGTGATTGTGGCAAAGAGTTCTACTTTTTATACTGAGTCAAAAGACATTATGTGTGTCAAAGCGAAGTGGATATCTGCACTGCAAGTTTATTAAATAAGAAAAACAAAAGTGTCTGAATACTGGTTTCCACTCACTGTGCATTAATTAGCAATGTACATTTGTTTAATATTAAATTATTAATACTATAATTATAATATTAAAGCTTATTCTGAAAACATGTTATATTACTTATATTTAACTGTTGCTCATCATTTACAGTGCCTCAGAATTATGGGCCAGCTTAATTATATCTCTCAACCTTTTTTTTTTTTGGTTTACATAACCTGAAGGTGATTGTAGTCGTATTTTTGAAAATCGTTTCACTAAAACTGTTGAAAACTGTTTCATTTTGATCATTAAAAAGCTGATTATCCTCATTTTTAGGCCCTTAAAATCACTTTCAGGGACTTTCTCAGTCAGGCCTTGACGTGAATATGTGCTTTAAAAGGATTTGGACATCCATGAGGGTCTGGTGGAGATGGACCAGGCGCCAGATGTGGAGCTGAGAGTGACTGAAGAAGAGGAGAAGTGGACGGTGGAGCTCAGTGAAGAATTTAGGGTGCCTGAAACCGATTTTAGTGAAGAAGCAGAAGCACTGAAGGATAAGAAGGTAAAGAGGAGTGATTATGATTTTTTTAATGAACCCTCGTTTCCCTCCTGGCCAGGTTGCCAGTCTCTAACAAGAGCCATACAGTAGTTTGATCTAGTTAAATACGGTTGTGTGCAAAAGTTTGGGCACCCCTGGCCAAATTACATATTTGAGGGTGCCAAAGGAGATTTCAGCCACAACTTGTACTCAGTACTCTGTTCCATGGGGCAAGGTGAACCTCGAAAACAAGGGGTGGGGTAAAAATAAGAAATGGGACTGGGCCTTAGAGTCCAGCTGTTACATTCTGGTGCCTCAGGTATCAGAACTGCTGCACCATTTAAGGTGGAACGGGAAAATTCGAACAAGAAGCTGGTGAATATCTGACTTCAGCTTCATATCACTGAAGAATTAGGGGTGGTGATAATAAATAATTGCCCCCTCTTTGAAGGCATATGATCCCTAAATGTAACTAAAGCCCAGCAGTGAGGAGCTGAACTTTACCCTCCTCTGCTGTCACTGCAGACTGGCAGGGTCGCCTACAGAGCAGCGCTGGTAGCTGTTAATGAAGTGATGCTCTTTTTATCTGAGGGTCCCATTTCAGAGGGAAGATTTCAACCACTACCCTGTAACTCAGTTCCAAGGAGCAACACTCGAAAACAAGGGGTAGGGGTTAAAATAAGTAAGAAATAGGACTGGGCTGTAGGGTCCATGCCTCGGCAGGTCGAGCAGAACACCTACAGCATACTAGGCATAATATTTTGGCTTATCAGTTTATATGCGGGATCACTGGACTTTTTTTTTTTTGGATACTGGATTTTTGAGTGTTCTGGCACAAATTAAGCCCTGTCTCTATCTAAAGAGGCTCCATATACATTTAGGCTTCTTTTTGTCTGTTCTTCTCTCAGTCTTTTTAACTCTGAAGGTGCCGTTTAACTCTCTGTTTAACTCTCTCTGTTTCTTTTCTCTGTCAGTATAAGCTGCTGAACATGGTGTGCTGCTCTCTGGTGAGTAAAAGCTGCTCTCCTGGCCAGAAGGGCTGGAACAAGAACAAAAGCGTGTGGAACAAGATCAGGAACCTGGCAGAGATGATCAACTCCAACGATCCGGAGTTTCTTCTCAAGGTTGGTGCACTTTCTATGTGCGTTTTCTCGTGTCTAATGTCCGTAACTCATTTTATTTCATTTGCATCTTCATGGTCACAGCCCTTCAGTAGTGTTTTCACCACAAACACAACTGATTCAACTCATTCAGCTGTTTTAGAGCTGAGCGGCACAGTGCTGTGTTACTTCAGATAAATATGCTCTATGTCTGAGGTTCAGTTGAATAAATCTTAATATTTAGGTCAGCATTTACACTCAGCGTCCACTTTATAGGAAACCCTCCCTTGTAGCTCCATCTTGCTGGTGTATAGTTAAAGACCGTAGCTCATCTGTTCATGAACACTTTGTAGTCCGGGGGGGTATCACACTGGCAAGTACAAGGTAGGTGTTTCTAATAAAGTGGCCTGTTAGTGGAAGCACAAGGTGGGTGTTTCTAATAAAGTGGCCAGTGAGTGGAAGCACAAAGTGGGTGTTTCTAATATAGTGGCCAATCAGTGGAAGCACAAGGTGGGTGTTTCTAATAAAGTGGCCAGTTAGTGGAAGTGCAAGGTGGTTTTTTCTAATAAAGTGGCCATTTAGTGGAAGCTCAAGGTGGGTGTTTCTAATAAATTGGCCTTTCAGTGGAAGCACAAGGTCAGTGTTTCTAATAAAGTGGCCAATTAGTGGAAGCTCAAGGTGGGTGTTTCTAATAAATTGGCCAGTGAGTAGAAGCACAAGGTCAGTGTTTCTAATAAAGTGGCCAGTTAGTGGAAGCGCAAGGTGGTTGTTTCTAATAAAGTGACCAGTTAGTGGAAGCTCAAGGTGGGTGTTTCTAATAAAGTGGCCAGTTAGTGGAAGCACAAGGTGGGTGTTTCTAATAAAGTGGCCATTCAGTGGAAGCACAAGGTGGGTGTTTCTAATAAAGTGGCCATTCAGTGGAAGCACAAGGTGGGTGTTTCTAATAAAGTGGCCAGTTAGTGGAAGCGTAAGGTGGGTGTTTCTAATAAAGTGGCAGTTAGTGGAAGCACAAGGTAGGTGTTTCTAATAAAGTGGCCATTTAGTGGAAGCACAAGGTGGTTGTTTCTAATAAAGTGGCCAGTCAGAGGAAACACAAGGTGGCTGTTTCTAATAAAGCGGCCAGTCAGAGGAAACACAAGGTGGGTGTTTCTAATAAAGTGGCCAGATTTTCTACGTATTTGTTCTCCTTCATCAGGTGGCCGTCTACACTCGGCAGGAACTTAACAAGCGCCTCATGGCCAGCTTCCTGCTTGCTTTGGCCGCTCACCTTCCCGGCTCCAAGCCGCACCTGAGGAGGTACTTTTGTGCAGCAGTGCAGATGCCGTCTGATTGGCTGCAAGTGGTGAGGATCTACAGCACGGTAAGAACACAAGGACGTTTGATTTGGCTCTTGGGAAAGTTGCCCAACCCCCCCAATTTGCATTCAGTAACACAGCAAGTGTTTTCATACTTTTTATTTTTCCTTTAAAAATTACTTTAATAATCAAACGGTGTAATATAATGTATTACTATTAAATTAAATATAAAAACATCACATACAGCATACAGTTGCATTAGCTAATAGAGCTCCAGTATTGATGCAACTCTTAATAAATGTAAATTTGTAAACTCCAGTGTTGCCCATTTTGATTACTTATAGCTGAGACTTCATAATTCATCATAATTCAATGGTTGAGACATAAACAGAGAGATTCAGAGCGGTTTGGTGTGAAATGGTTCAGATGTCTTTACAGTGGTGGTGATAGGAACCAGGGGTCGCCATGACTACAACACAGATATAGACATTTTATTTACTATCCAGAACCACCAGTGAACCTACACAAGTCTTCTGAGTTTATATGGAATGTAGATGATGGAAAATAGTGGAAAATCTGAAATAATAAGTTTTCTTTGGGGACTATTTTGCCTCAGCATGTATCCCTCCGCTATGAACGGGTTCTAAACTATCATAAAACAGTGTCTCAGTCATCAGGCAGTGAATTCATAACCATTTCATGTAGGAACTTTCTGTGAGGGAGCTTTTAGAGGTGGACGTCTGGTTCCTATCACCACCACTGTGAACAGTTCTGACTCAGTAAGTTTATCTAGAACAGAGCGTTTCACACCAAACCACTCTGAACCTCTCTGATTATATCTTAACTGTTTTTAATTATTCAGGAATTTTAAAAAAAGTGGAATTAGCTTTTAAACAGGGGTTAAAGATCAGAGCTTTCCAATTAAACAAGGAATTAAAGCTTTCTGAATGGACACGAGAGCCAGTACTGAGAAACACTTAGACTTACTGTACATTAACATAACATAGGACCTGTATGATTAACCATAGCAATGAACAATATGATTTTATATAATCTATATATTAATCCTGTGAAATTAAACTTTCCTTTGCATCCATTTAACGTTTTAACTCAAAAAAATAACTCAGACCAGCTGTCGTTTTTAATGAATATGTATTCCTGTCTCAGTGTTTCAGCTCATCTCTGCCCACATGCCTGAAAAAAGCTCTGGTGGACAAATTCAAGCAGTTCAGTGAAGGTCAGCTGGCCAAATATGGCAAACGCAGCCGGAGGAAGCGCAGAGCCACGGTACAGCACTCGCTCTTCACACGGAGAGACGGATTATTAAAGGAGAAGTTCAGAAAAAAGCAGATTCACCTTCACACGAATGTAGTTCAGCTGTCAGGACAAGTTTGGACGTCTACAGAAAAAGACACATTTCTAACCCGACGTTCATCTTCAGAGAATGACTCACTCTGTTCGTCACCAGCAGCGACGGGGGAGGAAAAACGGCCTAAATATTACATAACACACTCTTACAAAGATGGTTCTTCAAGGGTTCTTTAGAAGGGGATTTTGCATGCTTAAATGGTTCCTTTCATGGTGAAATCATGGTTCTTCAGATTGATGGAGAATGAAGTTTATATGGTTCTATAAAGCACCAAGAAGAGTTCCTCTATCGTTACGATCTCGAGCTTGTCAGAACAGAACAGAGGAACCCTTATTGTTGCTATAGAGATCCATTTTCTAAAAGGCTCTACATATAACCATATACAGCCCATTCTCCATCAATCTGAAGAACCATTTAAGCATGCAAATTGTTCTTTGGGCGTTCACGGTTCTATATAGAACCATTGTCTTTACTAAAGAACGCTTGAAGGACCATTTTTTAAGAGTGTATAACAAGCCACTTCATTTCAAGCTTGATATCGTAAGAATAGAAGAACCCTTTTGGGTGCTATATAGAACCCTTTTCAAAAACGGTTCTGTACAGAACCATCTGCTGCACATTCTTAGGAACGCTTTCATTTAATCATGCAAAATGTTCTCTGAGTGTTCATGGTTCTGTATAGAACCATTGTCTTTACTAAACAACCCTTGATGAAGCATCTTTGTTAAGAGTGTAACAACAGCAGAACCCTTTTTGGTGCTGTTTAGAACCATTTTCAAAAAGGTTCTACATATAACCATGTACAACACATTCTCCATCAGTCTAAAGAACCATTTCACCATGCAGAGAACCATTTAAGCATGCAAAAATTGTCTGTACTAACGAACCCTTGAAGAACCATCTTTTTAAAGAGTGTATGTAGAACCATTTCATGCCTAAATGGTTCTTTGCCTGGGGAAATCGTCTTCAGACTGAAGGAGAATGTGTTGTATGTGGTTCTATATAGAACCTTTTTGAAAATGCTTCTACATGGCACCAAAAATGACTCTATTATTACAAGCTTAACATCAAACACTCTTAAAAAAGATGGTTCTTCAAGGGTTCTTTAGTGAAGTGTTCTTCAGATTGATGGAGAATGTGCTGTAGGTGGTTTTATATATATATATATATATATATATGTATGTATAACCTTTTTGAAAAGGGTTCTATATAGCACCAAAAAGGGTCGTTCTGTTGTTTCAAGTATGACATCGTAATAAGAGCAGAACCCTTTTGGGTGCTACACAGAACCCTTTTCAAAAAGATTTGTAAATAGAACCATATACAACACATTCACCACCAACCTGAAGAGCCATTTCGCCATGCAAAGAACCATTAAGCATATATATATATATATATGTATAGAGAGAGAGAGAGAGAGAGAGAGAGAGATCATGGTTTCTAAATAGAACCATTCCCTTTTACTGAAGAACCCTTAATGAACTGTGTTTTATCTACAGATGTGTGTGGTAGTTTGATGAGGGAAGGAAATGGTCCACATTGTCGAACTGGAACTTGCTAGTAACCCAGTATCTCTTAATCCTGTAGCCCAGTAACTGAATAAAACTGAATAAAGTGAATCTCTCACTAAAAAATGAGACGAATGTGTGGAATTTCCTCTGAAAGCTCTGATGGGGTCATGTAAACAGCCCCTCCTCACTTCCTCTCCTTTTAAACAGTCATTAGTGTCTTTCAGGCTCAGCTCTTCTAACACAGATATAATATGTATTATATGGTTAGTGTTTCTGAGTGATTTCTACCGTGTGTCTCCGCTCTGTGTAGGATTTTCCTCCTGACCAGAGCAAGAAATGGGCAGACCTCCTCAGAACAGACCACTCAAACCTGCAGAAACACGTGAGTGACTTTGAGTCTCTGCAGATGATCTTCATTTCTTTGCCTTTATGTGAAAAAACATTCACTCAGGTTTAGCCATTAATAATTCCTCATATGTAGTGCGTATGAGAGCGTTCCTCATGTCTCAGAGCTGGAAATGAAAAATGTGTGTGTGTTTCAGTTACAGAGGGATCAGAGTGAGTTCAGCATGCAGAAGCTGATAAAACGTCTCCACATCAAAGAGCCCGCAGAGTTAGTCATGAGCATCCTGGGGAAGAAGTATGTAAACCCATCACACTGTGTCCCTATAACCCCATGACCGTATATGCTTGTAATTCCATAATCCTGTAACCCCAAAACCACCATAATCCTTTAAACCTTTCATTTTATTATCCTTTAACCTCATTACCCCTCTACACCTACAACCCCGTAAAGCCATGATGCCATAACACCATGACCTGTAATCCCATAACATCATCATAACACCATAATCCTGCAACTCCATAACTCCATCATCCTGTGACCTCATAACTCCATCATCCAGTAACACCATAAACCCAAAACTCCATAATATTTTAAACCTGTCATTTTATTATCCTTTAACCTCATTATCCCATATTCATATAACCCCCTAAAGCCATGATGACGTAACGCCATAACCTCGTAATCCTGTAATCCCAAACTCCATAATCCTGTAACCCCATAACTCCATAATACTCTAACCTCATAACTCCATAATCCTGTAACCGCATAACTCCATAATCCTATCACCCCGTAACTCCATAATCCTGTAATCCCATAATTCCATAATCCTGTAACCCCATAACTCCATAATACTCTAACCTCATAACTCCATAATCCTGTAACCGCATAACTCCATAATCCTATCACCCCGTAACTCCATAATCCTGTAATCCCATAATTCCATAATCCTGTAACCCCATAACTCCATAATACTCTAACCTCGTAACTCCATAATCCTGTAATCCCATAACTCCATAATCCTGTATCCGCATAACTCCATTATCCTGTCACCGCATAACTCCAAAATCCTGTAATCCCATAATTTAATAATCCTGTAACTGCATAACTCCATAATCCTGTAATCCCATAATTCCATAATCCTGTAACCCCATAACTCCATAATCCTGTAACCGCATAACTCCATAATCCTGTAATCCCATAATTCCATAATCCTGCATCCGCATAACTCCATAATCCTGTCACCCCGTAACTCCATAATCCTGTAATCCCATAATTTAATAATCCTGTAACCACATAACTCCATAATCCTGTAATCCCATAACTCCATAATCCTGTAACCCCATAACTCCATAATCCTGTCACCCCGTAACTCCATAATCCTGTAATCCCATAATTCCATAATCCTGTAACCCCATAACTCCATAATCCTGTAACCTCATTACTACATCGTCCTGTAACCGCATAACTCCATATTCTCATAATTCTGTAACTACTTAATCCCCTTATTCCATAGTCACAACTCCATAATTCCGTACCATTATAAGCCCATTATCTTGTATCCCCATAAACCTATAATTGTGTAACCTGGATTAGTCCAAAATTGTTCAACCCTTAGATTCAAAGCAAAATGGAAAAGCAGGTGGCCTATGATAAATGCTGGAGATAGTTATACAATACATTTCTACTTTTGGGAGCTGTAATGGTTATTTACTGTGTCACACTGATTAGGTACTTTTATTGTGTGTGTGTGTGTGTGTGTGTGTGTGTGTGTGTGTGTGTGTGTGTGTGTGTGTGTGTGTGTGTCTGTGTAGGTACCCTGCCGATGCGAAGGTGTTTGAGCGCAGTGGTCTGAGTGGAGTTTGGCAGAGTGACCGCGCCGGTCAGAGAATGAAACTCAAACAGCCGGACACGTGGCAGACCACACTGAGCCGAGAGGGAAACAAGGCTGCTACCTGGGAAAAGATGATCGGTCTGAGCACAAACTCACACAGCAATCATCTCAACACGACACAACACACACAATTAGATAATAAACAGCTTATTAATTACCAGGAGGTTCCAGAGACTCTGATTCGGTCAGGTTCTTCCACATTATACTCACCGTAGCATCTCTGTATGGAGCTCACTTTGTTTGTGGTGGTGTTTCCTGCAGAAACAGAAAGAACATTTCTTAATCTTTTCCACTGAGTTGAAAGCAGATAATTCTCCACAATTTTATTCTATGTTGTAGCAACATGATTTCCCTTCACTGGAACTGAGGGGCCCAAACCATGAAAGACAGTCTCAGACTCATTATTCCTCCTCCACCAAACTTGTACATTCACTGTTTCTCCTATACGTTTCCATTTCTCAGTAACAGCTGGCTAGAGCAGCTCTAGCAGGGCAGATGTGTAACAACTTGTTGGAAAGGTAGAATGCTATGAGAGCACCACTGAGCTCCTCGGTACGTCCTGTTCTACTTGTCTAAGGTGACTGTATGCTTGATTTCATACACCTGTTAGGAGTAGGAGTAGTTAAAATACCTAAACCCGCTACTTAGTGGTAGGTGTCCACATACTTTTGGCCGTATAATGTATATATATTATTTTATGTATTGCATATTAGCAGTGTGTATGTGTGATTGATGAGGTTTTTAGTAAGTGTGTGTGTTCTGTGTTCATAGACAGGAACTCTCTGCCGTTTGTGGTGATGCTAAAGAACCTGAGGAACATGATCACTCAGGGCATCAGTGCCAAACACCACGACAAGATACTGAAACGACTCACATCAGAGGTAATTCACCTCCATCCCACCATTCAACACCATCCAACTCACCATTCACCACCATTCACCTCACTGTTTACCTCTACTCACCTCTATCCATCTTCATCCACCTCACCATTCACCTCCATACATCTCACCATTCATCTCCGTTCCTCTCACCATTCACCTCCATACATCTCATCATTCATCTCCGTTCCCCTCACCATTCACCTCCATACATCTCACCATTCATCTCCGTTCCTCTCACCATTCACCTCCATACATCTCACCATTCATCTCCGTTCCTCTCACCATTCACCTTCATACATCTCACCATTCATCTCCGTTCCTCTCACCATTCACCTTCATACATCTCACCATTCATCTCCGTTCCTCTCACCATTCACCTCCATACATCTCACCATTCATCTCCGTTCCTCTCACCATTCACCTTCATACATCTCACCATTCATCTCCGTTCCTCTCACCATTCACCTTCATACATCTCACCATTCATCTCCGTTACCCTCACCATTCACCTCCATACATCTCATCATTCATCTCCGTTCCTCTCACCATTCACCTCCATACATCTCACCATTCATCTCCGTTCCTCTCACCATTCACCTTCATACATCTCACCATTCATCTCCGTTCCTCTCACCATTCACCTCCATACATCTCACCATTCATCTCCGTTCCTCTCACCATTCACCTCCATACATCTCACCATTCATCTCCGTTACCCTCACCATTCACCTCCATACATCTCATCATTCATCTCCGTTCCTCTCACCATTCACCTCCATACATCTCACCATTCATCTCCGTTCCTCTCACCATTCACCTTCATACATCTCACCATTCATCTCCGTTCCTCTCACCATTTACCTTCATACATCTCACCATTCATCTCTGTTCCTCTCACCATTCACCTCCATCCATCTCATTGCTCATCTCCATTCATCTCACCATTCTTCTTCATTCACCTCACCAAGTTTTTAAATACTACTGCTACTACTGGCTGCCATTACGCCGGTTCTCAAGAAGAGCGGTTTAGACCCTGAGAATTTAGCCAATCTCTAATCTCCCATTTCTCACCAAAATACTTGAACGGACAGTAGCAGTCCAGTTAATAGACCATATTGAATCCAATGACCTGTTTGCAGTTTTCCAGTCTGGTTCTAGAAAGAATCACAGCACTGAAACTGCGCTTGTTAGGGTGGTGAATGATCTCTTAATAGCAGCTGATAAGAGTTTGTTGAATTTGCTTGTTCTATTGGACCTTATTGCCGCTTTTGATACAGTATAGCCTACTACTACATCGGCTTCAAAATTTGATTGGCATATCTGGTACTGCACTTGCCGGGTTTCAGTCATATCTAGCAGACAGGCAGCAGTTTGTCTCTATTGGAGGTAACAGATCTGACTCATGCTCCCTGTCTTGTGGTGTTCCTCAGGGGTCAGTTCTTGGCCCTTTGCTCTTTATATTGTACGTGCTCCCCCTTGGTGACATCATCAGACGACATGGATTGCAGTTTCACTGTTGTGCGGACGATGTGCAGATCTATATATATATATATACACTAAACCATCTCACGGTTTACCACCCTCGGTGCTGATTAATTGTTAGGACATGGATGACTGAGAACTTCCTGGGTCTGAATAGTAATAAGTCAGAGGCCATATTAATTGCCTCTCCAGCTACAATTAAAAAGATAAGCAGCACTGCTGTTTCTATTCCTGGTTATATCGTCTCTTCTTCGACCCAGATTAGAAACTTGGGCGTGATTTTTGACTCCACTCTGTCTTTTGAGCCCCATATCAGGAACACTTCTAAGGCAGCCTTTTTCCATTTGAAGAGCATTGCTAGGATCCGCCTTTTCTCTCTTTTTCTGCTGCTGAGACTGTTATCCATGCTTTTGTAACATCTAGAATTGACTACTGCAATGCAGTGCTACATGGACTCCCTGCTCGGGTTCTGAATAGGCTGCAGTATGTGCAAAATTCAGCTGCTAGGGTTTTAACCCACACAAGATCCTGGGAGCACATCAGTCTCTGAAACAGCTTCATTGGCTCCCAGTACAGTATCGCGTTCAATGCAAACTGCTTGTGCTGGTTTTTAAACCTTTGAATGGCCACGCCCCCTCCTACCTTGGTAGTCTGCTTCAGTTATACTCTCCAGCTCGCACTCTTCACTTCTCTGATTCACGTTTGCTCAAAGTTCCTCCTTCTAAGCTGCGTACTGTTGGTGACAGGGCATTCAGTGTTGCTGGCCCCAAGCTGTGGAACAGTCTCCCCTCCGAGTTGCGTGCTTGTTCGACCCTGGCTATGTTCAAACCCCCTTTTTCCCGATGAATTTTGGCTCTTTTTTCTCTGGTGTACAACTTACTTATACATAAATAAAATATCGTCATTTGATCATATGTGAGTCATCACTGATCACCATGCTTTGCTGGTTTGTAATTTAGCTTCATTTTCATGTCTTTTCTGTTCCTGTCTATAAGCACTCAGTCACTTTTAAACCTGACAAACACACATTAACACAGTCTGTTCTGTTGTTTCAGTCGGCTGTGATCCAGAGTAAACTGCTCCCTTTCAGCTTCCTCGCCGCATATAAAGTCATTATGCAGCTCAGCAGGTTTGGTAAGTTACACTACTGCATATAATCTTTAACTGTGTACTCAGGGCTACTTTAAGGATACACTGATACAAGAAGAACATAGTACAACAATAATAACTGGAAAAGTAGTACATTTCCCAAAGAAATGCAGAGTGACTGCATTGCTTAAGCTATTACCCAGTTAGATAGTTGGTTATTGTGTTCCAGGTGGTTGCCAGGAGATTGCTAGGTGGTTGCTATGATATTGCAGGTGGTTGCAAAGGTGCTGCTACTTTGTTTCTGTGGTTTCAGGATGTTAAGCGATCTGCCATTCACTCCTACACTATATACATTGCATTTGATGCCAAACTATAGCCATAAATAACCACCTTAAAGGGTTTAAACACCTAACCTGGAAAGGCAGTGTGCTTCACCAGTTGAGTCTGATGTCGTCATGTTTCCAGTTGACTCTACGCCGGACAGCCATAAGGTCATCCTGCAGGGGATTGTGAAGAGGTTTCGGAAGCGTAAGGCCTTTAAGTATGTGGACTGGACATCGGCCAGTCGCCGGAGGATGCGAGCAACGCTTGGAGTGCCACTCGTCTACCGTCTCTACAAAGTGAAACGCAGACTCCTGCAGAGAGCCAGGTCTGTCCAGCACACTGACCACATACTGTATGTCCAAAGATGTCCAGACAGTCCTGCTAATGAGTGAATTCAGCTGCTTTAAGGTGAACCTTTTGCTGACACAGGTGTTCCATTTACAAAATTCTAAGAAAGTATGGCCTCTCTTAATGGCCTCGGTACGTCCATCAAACTTTTAGTTCAGGCTACTTGGCTAAAACATTCAGCAGCTTAAAAGCTCATAGAAGAAAACATTTGAAATATTTTTCATTTAAAATAAGCTGGCTTTAAGACGGTCGGTGCAGACATGGACGTTTGAGAACTGGCAAAACAGGAATGTTGGCCAGTTTAAAGTGAACAAAAAAGGGATTCTGGAAAACCATGTTTACGTTAATCAAACAGGAAAACTCATTAAGTCACTTAATTATAAAGCAGAAGGTTTTCAGGTCTAATAAGGAGGTTTTGAGCTGCCCCTTCAGATGAGCTGATACTAAAGCTAACACTGGAGCTGATCAGATGTTAGATGCTGAGGAGGACTCGTCGTCTTTTACACGAAATCTTTCAGCAAATTTTAATGACAGCCACTCGTTTTGTTTCTTTGTTATGATTGCAGTACTCATCACCACTCAAACCTTTCAGGTGTTTCAAACATCTTTGGGCCAAACGACTTTCAATAAATGCTTTAGTGCTGGAAAAGAAAACTGATCATTCATATAAACAGTGAATATCAAACTAGTTTTTTTTAAAAAATATGATGTTGATGAGTTCATTTCAGTTCTGTTGGTTCCACAGCCAGAGGAAGTTCAGTCAGGAGCTGCTGGAGCGATACCTGCAGGCTCTGCTGAAGGCCGTGGAGATTTCCTGCAGATACAACATCCCCCTGATACCCGGACGCACCCTCATCTGCCTTTCTGATAACTTTTATGACAACAACTGGAAACAGGCTGGGGAGTTCTTTCTGCCTCCAGACCCCTCAGAGAAGGCGGAGAAGACCCTCCCAGAACCTTCAGAGGACACAGAGAAGACCCTCCCAGAACCTTCAGAGGACGCAGAGAAGACCCTCCCAGAACCTTCAAAGGACACAGAGGAGACCCTCCCAGAACCTTCAGAGGACGCAGAGGAGAACGATTCAACACTTGCAGTGAGATAAACACGAACTTTGTAACACAGTAAATCAGTGTTTGTATACAGTGCTGGGCAAAAGTCAGAGACCACCTTTTATTTATATCATTTCCATTCAAAACGGCCATTAAGTAAAAGATTCAGTCAGACAAAAAGCAGAAAACATATTTAACAGAAAATGCACAGATATTTACATAATTAAGTAAAATGTAACCACATTTTCAGTGTTTAGTGTGTCACTCTCTTCTATTCTGTTCAGGAGCCTCACTTTCAGTTCCTCAAAGAATCTGCAGACACACCTCCAAAGTTCAGTCTTAGAAGCTGGTTGATCATTTTCTGAAGTAATCAAACACATTCAGTGGTGTTGAGGTCTGGACTCTGGGGTGGTCAGTCCATTGTTCAGCTTCTTTGTTTGATGTGTCCGTCTCCTTTTCTCAGTGAGGTTCTTTTTGATCAGCTACACATCCTTTCAGACCCACAGCGCTGAGTCGTCTTCTCACAGTGGAAGGATGGACAGAAACACCTGTGGATGTTTTCAGATCTGAAGCAGCTTGATTTTCTCCTCTCTCTCAGAGATGAAAGCTTTAAGTGCTGTTTATCTGATGGGGGCAGTTTTGGGGTCGACCAGCTCTTCCAGGTGGTTGTTAGGAGACACATTTTCTCTATAGCTGTTAATCAGTTTTTGAGCTCCAGTTTTGGAAACTTTGACTTTCTCCTTTATAGTGCAAGTGGATTATTTCATATTTGATAACCTCAAAAAACCTCATCTAAAAAATTAGTAACTTAATGGCTGTTTAGACCTGTAATTAAAAGCGTGAAGGGTCTCTGACTTTTGCACAGCACTGTACATACAGCAAACCAGGCAAAAGTCTGGACGCATATTCTCTCTTTACTTTACATATTCTTGTTTCAGTGGAGGATCTCAAGGGGAACTGGAGCTCCACCAAGCTGCTGCTTTTGTTAGTTTGCTGCTTGTTGATTTATCCATGGTTCCCTACGAGCATCTGTCCAGTGTAGTCTGCTGAATGTGCTGAAGGTTTCTCTTTAAAAGACGTCTATAATCTCTATTTGAGTAAAAGCACAACAATCACAACTTCTATCAAGCGCTCCGCAGCTGGGCTTCAGCCTGCACTACTACGGACAGGTCGAAGGGTCAGGAAATATCTTATTGGAATTAAAAATTACTGTAAATAAATTGTCATGTTAAGAAGTTAACTTTGACATCTAGTCAGCCCTAATTTACAGTTTAACCAAACTTTTGACTCGTGCTGTATGACTGTCAGGATTAGCCTTTTATTCACTGCCACATTGCTCGGTTGAATTTTCCATGTAAAGTCTCATTAAATATGAAATGATGGTGATTTCAGTCTGCTGTATGCTAACCTTTCTCTCTGCTTTAGGGGCAGCAGGCAGCTATCCTTTTGGCCATGCTGTTGAGATACGGCTGTGAGCACTCGCAGGTCCAGTTTATGAGCTACAGCGGATTTCACGAGGTGGAGTTTAAGTCTGACAACTTTTTGGAGAACGCGTGGCACGGAATTAAACAGATGAAGGTCAGGCTTCACATTTACAGGGTTTTGTTGTTGAAAAAAAGTTTAAAACACAGTTTAGAAGTCAGATTTTTAGCTGTGCTAACATACTGTAGTCCATGTTTATAGAAAACAGTGTGTCACACAATTATGATACGATAACTATCAGTAAAGGAGTTCTGTGTCTTGGATGACCAGACGTCCGCTGCTTTCGAGGGCTCTAAATTTGGTGAACATTCGGTACATACTGCAATTGTTTTAGTAAGTTTCATTCATTTAGACTGTTTTTATTTATTTATATATTAACAGTAGAATTACATGAAGAAAACTGCCACCGGTAACAGCGCAGAACAGCGTGAATTAAATGGAAATTACAACAGCAGAGTTTTCACCATGTGCCTTATCAATATGTAGTTTAAATGTATTCTGAATATGTTACTGTCTTATGTATTGTAATGGAATACGTTACTGAATACATTAAGTACAGTGTATTCAGTATTCAGCCATCCCTACTGTTTCAAAGTATTCCGCCCAACTCTGCTGGACAGACAACCAAAATCCAGGACAATCTTGGATGAGTGACAAACCTACAGGCGACCATGTTGGCTAGCAAAACGCTGAGTGATGGGCAGAGAGAGAGAGAGGACATCCTCCCCACCCACAAACAGAGAGGACCTTATTGAACTTCGGGCCAACAGTTTAAATAAACAACAAAAAAGTTTACATGCAGACAAAGACATTTGGGACTTTTAACTGATCTTGGACTTTAGACTAAAATCCTTTTGCTTTGAGTGACCCTGTACCTTAATTATGATTATTTTATTTTATTTAAAAATTACATTTTGTCACTACAATTTAATTTAACTTTGAGCTCAAAAACTCAGCAAACACAGCTTTGAACAGCTGTTCACACAGAAAATCATCATATTTTACATTAAAACACTAAATCATATTTTTCATTAAAAGATCTCCAGCCCACAACTTCGATCCTCTGAGCCGACAGTACATGACTGAGGTGCCCTTGAGCAAGACACCTAACCCCCAACTGCTCCCCAGGCACTGTGGATAGGGCTGCCCACCGCCCTGGGCAAGTGTGCTCACTGCCCCCTAGTGTGTGTCTTCACTAGTGTGTATGTGGTGTTTCACTGCACGGATGGGTTAGATTGCGGATGTGAAATTTCCCCATTGTGGGAATAATAAGGGTCACTTAATCTTTCTTTGGGGACTGTTTTGCCTCAGCATGTATCCCTCCGCCAAGAACGGGTATTGATACTTTATTAATACTTTGGGTTTAAATAGATCAGAACATAATCCTCATAAATATCTAAGCTACTTCATTGTTTTTTATTTTATTTATTTATTTATTTATTTATTTATTTTTAGAGTCAGGCCGCAGTTTGAACTAACTCTATAGAATGGTTCAGTTATAAATATAAACTTCAAGTACAAGACAGCAGTTTGCAGCCAATTCAGCATAACAATATATATATATATATATATATATATATATATATATATAAAATATATATATATATAAATATATATATAAAATATACAAGATTAGGCTTGTATGAAAAAGAAGAAGCCATTCTTAAAACTATGTGTGAGTTTTAACTATAAGTTTTAGAGTTGATTGTAGTGCTGTGATGGTTCTATGACTGTTTGATGGACTGTTTTCTAGGGTCATTTTAAAAACTTGATTTTTCTTTATTTCTTTTCTCGAATCTCCTTTTTAGACATCCTGGAAGGAGGAGCTAAAGTGGACATCATACTGTAACTTCTTCTCAAAGTTGACTGCAGACAAAACAAAGGTGTGGTCAGATTAACGTCTGGTTTTGCACAGGCCTTGTTCAGACTGCCAGCGATTATCCAGATTATATCCAGATTGATTTTGAGAGGGGGCGGCACGGTGGCGCAGTGGGTAGCGCTGTCGCCTCACAGCAAGAATGGCCTGGGTTCGATTCCCGGCCGGGTGACCAGGGTCATTTCTGTGTGGAGTTTGCCTGTTCTCCCCGTGTCTGTGTGGGTTTCCTCCGGGTACTCCGGTTTCCTCCCACAGTCCAAAAACATGCAGTCAGGCTGATTGGACATGCTAAAATTGCCCCTAGGTGTGAGTGTGTGTGTGTGTGACTGTGTATGTCTGTCTGTCTGTCTGCCCTGCGATGGACTGGCGACCTGTCCAGGGTGTATCCTGCCTTCCGCCCAATGACAGCTGGGATAGGCTCCAGCACCCCATTGCGACCCAGAAGGATAAGCGGTTTAGATGATATATGTATGTATGATTTTGAGAGGCTGGACAGCAAACAACATGAAATCTGATTTTTGCAAAAAAATCTGACAAACCACATTTGGAGGAGTGGCAAAGATTCATGGTTATGAAGAGAGTTCTGAAGAGTTTGGAGGGCGAGATGATGCTCCTCCATCTCTCCTGCATCCACGTTTGAAATCCGCGTCAACAGCGTAGCTACGCAGTTACTGACGCCTGCGTTGTAACCACGGCAACCCATGCAGATAGACTGGTGATGTCTGGACACACAAATCAGATCTGAGCACTTGCAAATAACAGAGCGGACAGTCGCCTCAAAAGATCTGATCAGAGAAACCGATCTGATTTGCCTGCAGTCTGAACACAGCCATAGTTGATTGCTTTGAGATCAATGCAGATGGTGCTTCACCCTTATTTAAACTAACGAGGGCCACTCTGCGCAGGTGGATAATATAATCGTGGTGAATGAGTACTGGTTGGATTCCACTTTAGAGTCTGAAGTGTACAGATACCGCAAGAACACCAGCAGTGACGCTCTTGTGGTTTACCTGGTGCTCAAACCAGAGTAAGTCCTCCCCTTTAGTAGCTGTTAATCAGTTTTCTGCTTCTTTCTGTTTATTTCCCTTGGGCTTCTTTTCCTTATGCAAGTTTTATTATTTTATTATTATAGTTTTATATCTAATCTACTCAGAAATATCTCCTGAAAAACCAAAAGCCTGAGCTTAGTGGCCACTTTGACAGGAAATTAAATAAATAAAGGCTGCTTTCTGACTTTGTACAATGCCTAATATCATTCCTGTCTGAGCGAAAACTTGTTTTCTATTTTCTGACATTATTTGAAAGATACTGCTGCATTTTACATTCTGTAAAACATTTCATGATGAGTGGATCAATGGACAATGATCCAAAACTACTTGGAATACTTGCATAAATGTAAATAAAAACCAAATGCAAAGATGAGCAAATCATTAAAACCATATAATTAATTGAAGACAATACAAAGACAACATATCAAATGTTGAAACAGAGAAATTTTATTGTTTTTTATAAAATATATGCTCATTTTTAATTTGATGCCCACAACATGTTACAAAAAAGTTGGGACGGGGGCCTGTTTACCACTGTGTTTCATCACTTTTAACAACACTCTGTAAGTGTTTAGGAACTGAGGAGACCAGTTGATGTAGTTTTGAAAGTGATTTGTTTTCCCATCCTTGCTTGAAATAGGATTTCAGGACTGCACTCTGTCATATTTTTCATTTCATGATGCGCCAAATGTTTTCAGTGGTGACAGGTCTGGACTGCAGACAGGTCAGTTTAGCACCGGACTCTTTTAATATGGAGCAATGCTGCTGTAATACATGCAGAATGTGGTTTGACATCGTCTTGCTGAAATAATCAAGGCCTTCCCTGAAAAAGACGTCGTCTGGATGGCAGCATTTGTTGCCAAAACATGTGTATATCATTCAGCATTAATGGTGCCTTCACAGATGTGCAGGTCACCCAGGCCATGTGCACAAATGCCCCCTATACCATTATGAATACTGGCTTCTGAACTGTGTGCTGATAACAAGCTGAGTGGTCTTTAGCCAGAAGGGCACAGCGCTTCAGATCACAGGACACTTTTCCACTTCACCTTGGTCCATTTCCAATGAGCTCAGGCCCAGAGAAGGTGGCAGCATTTCTGGATCCTGTTTATATTTGGTTTCTTCTTTGAGTTTTAACTTGCATTTGTGGATGCAGTGATGAACTGTTTTCACAGACAGTGGTTTTCAGAAGTGTTTCTGAGCCCATGCAGTGATTTCCACTACAGAATCATGTCTGTTTTTAATGCAGTGCTGCCTGAGGGCCCAAAGATCATCGCCAGCCAGTACTGGTTTTCAGCCTTGTCCTTTGCGCACAGAGATTGTTCTAGATTCTGTGAATTTTTTTAATGAAATTGTATACTGTAGTTGATGGAATCTCTAAGTTAAGTATTCTTGAATTGTTGCTCTATTTGATGGTTCAGTCTTTCACAGAGTGGTGAACCCCTCCTCATCTTCACTTCTGAAAGACTCCGCCTCTCTGAGATGCTCTTTTATACCCAGTCCTGCTACTGACCTGTTGCCAGTTAACCTAAATAGTTGTCAGATGTTCCACCAGATGTTTTTTTAAGCATTAGGCAACTTTGCTGTCTTTCGTGCCCTCTGTCCCAGCTTTTTTGATATATATTAATGGAATTTAATTTAAAATGGGCTAGTATTTTTCAAAAAATAATAACATTTCTCAGTTTAAACATTTAATATGTTGTCTTTTTACTGTTTTCAATGAAATATAGGAGTTAAATAATTTGCACATCATTGCTTCTGTTTCTGTTTACATTTTGCACAGCATCCTAACTTTTTTGGAATTAGGGTTGTACACTGAACGTTATGATTGGTTTTTGTCCTGACCTCACAAATGCGCTTCTGGAAGTATGGTCAAAAATTCCCATAAACACTCCTAAACCTTGTGGAAAGCCTTCCCAGAAGAGTTGAAGCTGTTATAGCTGCAAAGGGTGGGCCGACATCTTTTTAAACCCTATGGATTAAGAATGGGATGTCACTCAAGTTCATATGCATGCGAGCGAATACTTTTGGAAATATAGTGTATGTTATTGATTACATTTACACCAAATTAGCATTCTGTATAACTGGTTCAAGTTTGCACTTCTGAGTTTAAAGGATGTAAAGGATGGTTTTCCGCTGAGCAAGGCTGCACACACAGCAGTACATCATTTTTCAAATCATAATAAAATACCTCCTGCTTATAGACACTGCTGTGGTATGGGTTTACAACCTGCACTTTCCACACATTTTCTTCACTTCTTTTAATGAGCTATGATTCAGAAATAATTCATATAATAATAATTCATGCTTTGTTGTGTTAGCTGGTAATGAGTGTGATAGCTTTAAACACTGTTTCATCTTAGTGGGGACGACAGTGATGACAACCATGATCCTCACGTTGTGTATCTCTCGGAGTTCAGTAAGCAGATCCTGAAGTAAGAGTTCCTTCCTCTCTGAATAATGCTGCTGGGCTTCGGCTTTTCCACTCTGTTTTATTGAGCTCTGTGTCTCCATGTTTATTGAGCTCCGTGTCTCCATGTTTATTGAGCTCCATGTCGGCAGGTTTGTTTCAGAGAGAGGTTCCTCCAGGCTCTTGGACCATGTGGAGAACATGGACAAGCTGTATGAGATCCCTCCTCCAGCCGGATTCAGAGACAAACCAGAGAGAACCACAGACGTCGTCCCATTGCCTGCCACTCCAAAGCTCAGGTGGCTCTCAGACCAACAAGATTCCATTGATGCACATTTCCATTTTAAACATCTCGTTTTCTGCATTTAAAATGAGCAAAATTTAATTTAAAATAAAACTATTTGACTATTTTTACCTTGTTTTAGTTTCATGTAACCAAACTATGAAAATATGGAGGCTGGGTGAGTGGGCGTGGTTATTGGGTAAAAGTATGAAGGCTGGGTGAGTGGGCGTGGTTATTCAGTGAGAGTATGAAGGCTGGGTGAGTGGGCGTGGTTATTGGGTAAAAGTATGAAGGCATTGTGAGTGGGCGTGGTTATTGGGTAAAAGTATGAAGGCAGTGTGAGTGGGCGTGGTTATTCAGTGAGAGTATGAAGGCTGGGTGAGTGGGCGTGGTTATTGGGTAAAAGTATGAAGGCATTGTGAGTGGGCGTGGTTATTGGGTAAAAGTATGACGGCTGGGTGAGTGGGCGTGGTTATTCAGTAAGAGTGTGAAGGCTGGGTGAGTGGGCGTGGTTATTCAGTGAGAGTGTGAAGGCTGGGTGAGTGGGCGTGGTTATTCAGTGAGAGTATGGAGGCTGGGTGAGTGGGCGTGGTTATTCAGTAAGAGTATGAAGGCTGGGTGAGTGGGCGTGGTTATTCAGTGAGAGTATGAAGGCTGGGTGAGTGGGCGTGGTTATTCAGTGAGAGTATGAAGGCTGAGTGAGTGGGTGTGGTTATTCAGTGAGAGTATGAAGGCTGGGTGAGTGGGCGTGGTTATTCAGTAAGAGTATGAAGGCTGAGTGAGTGGGTGTGGTTATTCAGTGAGAGTATGAGGGCTGGGTGAGTGGGCGTGGTTATTCAGTGAGAGTATGAAGGCTGGGTGAGTGGGCGTGGTTATTCAGTGAGAGTGTGAAGGCTGGGTGAGTGGGCGTGGTTATTCAGTGAGAGTATGGAGGCTGGGTGAGTGGGCGTGGTTATTCAGTGAGAGTATGGAGGCTGGGTGAGTGGGCGTGGTTATTCAGTGAGAGTATGAAGGCCGGGTGAGTGGGCGTGGTTATTCAGTCCAGTCTTTCTCCTGTCCTCAGGTGGCGAGAGGTGCGTGTGGTCATTTCGTCGTCGTTGCGGGACGTGTACGCTGAGAGGGATGTTTTGGTGCACTCTGTGTTTCCGGAGCTGCGGCGCCGTGTGGCTCCACACTGCCTCTACCTGCAGGAGGTGGAACTGCGCAGTGGTTTATCAGAGGAGGAGGCGGCTCAGGCCGTGGAGCTTTGTCTGTCAGAGGTGGGCCGCAGTCAGCTGCTGCTGGGGATTCTAGGAGAGAGATACGGGCCGGTTCTGCCTCAGCCTGCGCTGACCAGTCAGCCTCAAAACAGCTGGGTAAGAGTAAAGTATGAGCTTCTCTTTGAGGTTTTCAAATGTGTTAGATGGTCTGTAGAGTTCTGATGATTCTGCTGACTTTTATATTGATATGATCGTCATACACACACATATTTTATATACATATATATATAGACTGGCGACCTGTCCAGGGTGTATCCTGCCTTCCGCCCAACTATTCAATGTTCATGTCTTTACTGCTAATGCTGGACTGAAAAACACAGCGACGTCATGTTTTTTATTGAAAATACCTCAAACAGTATTGATTTTGAAAAAAACATTTGATTTTGATAATGATCATTATTGTCTACAGTCACACTGGGGTCTTAATATCATTCTTCTCTCTCCTGTTCCAGCTGAACTCCGCCCCCTCTGGGCTGTCAATCACAGAGATGGAGATCCGTCAGTTTCACTCTCTGTATCCCGACTCTGCTCAGAGACGCATGTTCTTCTACTTCAGATCTCCACACCTGGTCAGGTACGTTTGCACTTTAACCAGTTAATGTGCACACAGTGATACACATTGTATGGCCAAAAGTATGTGGACACCTGACCATCACACCTACAGGAGCTTGTTGGACGTCCCATTCTAAATCCATAGGCATTAATATGGTGTTGGTCCCCCTTTGCAGCTCTAACAGCTTCCAGTCTTCTGGGAAGCTTCTACAAGATGTTGGAGTGTCTGTGGAAATTTGTGTCCACCCAGTCTAAAGAGCATTTGTGAGGTCAGGCACTGATGTTGGGCGAGAGGGCCTGGCTCACAATCTCTGTTCTAGTTCATCCCAAAGGTTTTCAGTGGGGTTGAGGTCAGGGCTCTGTGAGGGCCGCTGGAATATCACAGTACTCCAAGAAATTTTCACAATACATGATATGTCACAATATTTATTTTTTCAGGCGTCTGATCAGTTAAAACTGAGAAAAAAAAGAACCAGTAGTGCTTAATTTTAGAAAATACTATCAAAAATAAACATAAATAAAAACACACCATATGTATAGAAAAGCATATGATATTCTATTGTGACACTTTATCACGATAACGATATATATTGTCATTGTCCAGCCCTGTTGAACAGACCAGACAAGCACATAGACTGTTAACAAATGTGCTGTGAAAATGCTGAAATGTTAGATGTGACTAGAATGATGAACAGAATGAATAAAATGACTGAGAAAGCTGCAGAACATCAAGAATGAAGTTTTAATAAAATGAATACTCTCACTGCCTCGTATTTTAAAAGTGGTGAACAAATCTCAAGGCAGAGAACTCATCAATTAATGACTATAAATTGATAATTACAGTTATCATGTTTTATTTGGAAACTGAAAACTTGAAATATTAAGGAAACATTTTAAAATCTCTTCAGTCTCACTTACAGTATTTCAGCATGCACTTTGTTATTACTAATAAAATAACAGCAATTATTAATATGACTGCTGATTCCAAATGGTAATGTATATGTAAATTAGATTAATCACCAAACTGTTCTTTAAGCCTGATTACTGATTACAGCCTAGCTCCACTGTGTTTGATCTACTGCGTGTGCTGTTTCTGGGTTCAGCTCAGTTCCTGTGGCGTGGAGAGCGGACTTCACAGCCGAGTCGAGAGAATCAGAGGCTAAAATGGACGAGCTGAAGGAATGGATCCGGACAAACCAGTTCAGAGTGACAGAAAAGTAGGTCGTGGCATCGAGTGTTGGTTTATTTTGTCTCAGCAGGCCTCTGTATGAGCTGGTGTGCAGTTAGAGGCGATAGCTCATCTGTTAGTGGAAGCACAAGGTGGGTGTGTCTAATAAAGTGGCCAGTGAGTGGAAGTACAAGGTGGGTGTTTCCAATAAAGTGGCCAGTTAGTGGAAGTACAAGATAAGTGTTTCTAATAAAGTGGCCAGTTAGTGGAAGCACAAGGTGGGTGTTTCCAATAAAGTGGCAAGTTAGTGGAAGTACAAGGTGGCTGTTTCTAATAAAATGGCCAGTTAGTAAAGGCACAAGGTGTTTCTAATATAGTGGCCAGTTCGTGGAAGCACAAGGTGGGTGTTTCCAATAAAGTGGCCAGTTAGTGGAAGTACAAGATAAGTGTTTCTAATAAAGTGGCCAGTTAGTGGAAGCACAAGGTGGGTGTTTCCAATAAAGTGGCCAGTGAGTGGAAGTACAAGGTGGGTGTTTCTAATAAAATGGCCAGTTAGTGAAAGCACAAGGTGTTTCTAATATAGTGGCCAATTAGTGGAAGCACAAGGTGGGTGTTTCCAATAAAGTGTCCTGTTAGTGGAAGTACATGATAGGTGTTTCTAATAGAGTGAACTTGCCTGACTCCTCTATGATGTGCTCTCTCTCTCTGTATCTGCAGTTACCCGTGTGAGTGGGGGGGTAAGGGGGTGGACGGACGGCCCTGTGTGAAAGGACTGGAGGAGTTTGCGAAGGCTGTGGTGGAAGATCTCTGGGCAGCTTTACAGGAGCTCTTTATGGAGGTCAGGCATCAAACTCAAAACACACGTCCAAAAAACTGTCGCACTGCGCTCTGGGGTTCCTTCTCTATGCTAATGTGATTCGTTTTCTTAAGCTCTTCATTAATACTCATAATAAAGTGAATGATCAATAGAAACTCAAGGACGTTTCCCATCAGTTAACCATTTCACATCAGTCTACTCTGACTCAACCACTGAATTTTACATTCAGCCTTAAATGGGTGGAATTCCCCTTTTAAGGCTGAAGAGGTTAAAGTTCTGTTTGCTGATTTCTGACAGGAAGTAAACGAGGCTGATGTGACGTCGGAGATTACCGAACAAGAAGTTCATCAGGAGGCTCAGCGCCGACACTTCCACGGCAGAGGGAAACTGGTTTCCATGGCGATAGAGAAAGTTAAAGAGTGTCAGCAAAAAGGAGGAATCCTATTGGTGGAGGGGCGCCGTGCAGAGGGCAAGACCGCTTTCATGGTACCTGCTTTCACTGATTTTAGTGTAAAATATGGATTATCATTTAATAGATTTGTGTTTTACGCTTTGTTTCGGGTTGGTTTACAATTTATTTTCTTTTATTCATTTTCATTCATCAGCTTAGATAACGTTTAATAAGATTCTGAAATGATTTAGTTACTGTTTCACTTTTATTATTCTTTTTATTTATTTTATTATCAACTTACTTCATAGCTAGTGCCAAGTTATTGTTTTACATCTTATATAAATAAAGTAATTTCATTACCTGTGTTTTAAAAATGTATCCCTATTTGATCTGTTATTTATAAAGTTATTATATTGTTACAATTTTAATGGTTTATTGATTTTTTTTACTACTAAATTTAGTATTATGATTAATATTATTACTGTTTTTAGCGTTTGATATGTTTTGTATTGTGTTATGATGTCTGTATTGTCTCGGCTACATTGTAAATGAGGGTCTCCCTCAATGTGAGTTTAAATAAATGTTGATTGATTGATTGATTGATTGATTGATTGATTGATTGGTCATTGTCCTCAGGCTGTCGTGGCTCATACGCTCTTAACTCCAGACCAGTCGAAGAACAAAGCTCCTCTGTGTGATGTCGTTTCCTATTCCACAGCTGCTAGCCAATCAGCTGGCAGCGTCAGCCAACTCCTACGCTGGCTGGTCCAAAGACTGAGGAAGATGAGGGGCGAGGAGGAGGAGTTGACTTCCAGCACATCTTACAGGTGAGAACATGGATGTAGTCTTCGAGGCTGATGTAGCAAACAGGTAATGGAAGCTTAGACCCCACCAGTTAGCATGCATGCCTAAATCATCATTACTTCACAGTGTCGAGTTGTTAAATAATCTCTATTAGATTTGGTTGGTAGGTTTACTTGAAGCTTCATGCATGACGTTGACATAATCCTGCCATAAACATGTCATATCCTGTGATTTGTTGTCATGACAGGTTTCGTTAAAAAGCCTGAAAACCTTTTTAAGCCCATCTTTTATAGAAATTCAGCCTCTGATATTTAATGTTTTCCTCCTCCTGCAGAGCCCTGCTGTCCGAGTTCCACCTGCACTTGTCCGACCTTAGAGAAGGTCCACCCCTGGCCGTCTTCATTGATGGGGTGGACCTTGTGCATGATGCTAGAGGTCAAGTGGTTTCTGAATGGATACCTGAGCACCTTCCCAAGGTCAGATTTAGAAACACAGGCACACAGTTCAGATAACTGGAGTGGTGGAGCTCCAGGGTCTAGTGTACACATTTACTAACCACTGGCCACTTTATCAGAAACCCCTCCCTGATAGCTCCACTCTGCTGGTGTTCAGTTTAGTTTTCCCACTGCACAAAGTACTGGCGCCTCTCGCATCAGAAAACTGGAACTAGGCTTTTTTAATTGGCCATTGGTCCAGTACCGAACATTCCGGTTTTATGGCTTTTGGTACCTGATCAAGATCAGTACCAACAGAACCTAATGGTACTCGGAGAACACAGTGGTGTTCTCTGTCTTTAGTAGGGATCCACCAAAACATTTGTCAAAAATGGTTCAGTTTCTGTGCCAAAAGAGAAAAAAGGCCTACAATTTTGGCTGAAAATAACCAAAGTGTTACGAAACAGGGAGGCGGACTCAAGCGCAGAGAGGAAAACCCGTGAGAAAGGGTCTTAAATGAATTTAATGAGGTGATGGAGGGTGAACACCGCGACCCAGAAGGATCAGCGGTTTAGATGATGGATGGCTTAGGTGGCTCAGAGCCAGGCTCCAACCGCTGATGTACAAATTGGCGGACCACCGGGAAGTGCAGGTGAAAACGGGAATAACACCTCAATGAATGGGAATAAAAAATGGTGGAAAAAGGCCAACAAAGGGGACGCTGAAAGCAGCTCAAACAAAGCCTGAGATAGAAAAGTGAAATGAAAGATAATCAGAAAACAAAAGACACTTCCTCTGTGATTCTGAGAGGAAGGTCAGCTTTATGTTTCACCTGTTTGCTCTTTGTGGAGCAAACACTTTTGTTTGGTTTGTAGCCGTTTCTTGTTTAAGCCTTTGTTTTGGCTTTTAAGCAGTTGTGGGGCAATTTCTCTCGTTTTTTCCAGCCCTCTTTTCTTTTCTTTTCGTTTTTTGTACCATACCGGTCACTCCTCTACAAAGGTGTGACAAAGTGCTGCTGTTTGCCACAGCCTTAAGTAGAGGAGTCCACAGGTGTGCCAGGTTGGGCCTAATCAGCCCAAGGGCTTCTGGGAATTGGAGTTCCCTGAACTTGTGGCGCCTCTGCTGGCAGCCGGCGGCACAGGCTGGGCCTTTACACAAAGATTAAGTAGTATTATGTGGAAGTGTCAATTGTCACACTTAACAAATCACTTGAATGACAAAAAGCCATAAAGGGATTATAATGCTTCAGTTTTTGAAATCACAAAAACAAATTCACAAACGAAAATAAACGAAAACAATGGTATTCATTACCTTGGATGACCTGCCGCTCTCTGTTGTTGAGGACGTTGGATTTATTGGGCACATGCTGTAGCCTTCCTACTGTAATAATGTTCTCAGTGCAGTGGATCATTTATGTGTTTAGATTTACAAGTATTTTAAATATCTTTGTGTGTTGATTGTCTTCAGGGAGTCTGTCTGGTCCTGAGTGTCACCACAGATTCAGCCCTCCGTGTCGCTCTCAGTAAGAAGAAGCGCTGCGTGTTGTTTCCGCTTGGGGAGTTAGCCTTGACTGACCGCAGGGAGATCGTGCAGGAGGAGCTGGGAGTGGATGGAGAGGAACTGAGTGATCCAGCGTTCAGTAAACAGGTCAGTCCTTCATCAGGAAGAGTGAGACGATGAAGAAGATCACAGTCACACGCAGTTCTGTAGGTTCAGATTGTGGTTATGTTTGTCCTCCAGCTGCAGACGCTGCTGATGAAGAAGGGAGCCGTCAGTCCACTTTACCTCCGACTGGCCTGTGAGGAGCTGAGGAGCCTCTCTTCACTGCAGAAGGTCAGAGATCTACTGATGATGATGATGATGATGGTGATGATGGTAGTGGTAAAGATTAATTATGATGATATTGATGAATATTATGATGTTAGTGATGATGGTGATGATGATGATGACAATGATAGCAGTGATGAAGGTCGGTTGTGTCAGGCACAGCGATAAAAAAAAGTAATAAACTGAATTTTATAGATCTAAAAAAACAATCAGACCGTTTCATTCAGATGCTGACAGTGATGAACATGTTGATGGTAATGTGATGTTAGTAATGGTGATGATGTTGGTGTTAATGGAAATGATGGTATTGATGTTGTCGATGGTGATGATGTTGATGGTGATAATCTTTATGGTGATGATCATGGTAATTGTGGTGATGATGATGGTAATGGTGAGGATGTTGGTGATAGTACTGGTAGTGAAGATGATGTTGATGGTAATGTTAATGGTGATGATCATTATAGTGGTGATGATGGTGATTGTAGTGGTGATGATGGTAATGGTGGTAGTGATAGTAATGGTGGTAGTGATGGTGTGGATAGTAATGTAAATTATGAGTTTTAATGGTGGTGATGAAGTTGATGGTGATGGTGATTATGATGATGATGGTAATGGTGGCAAAGATGATGTTCATGGTAATGTTGATGGTAATGTTAGTGATAATGATGATGTTGATGACAATGATGGTGATGATGCCAATGATGATGTTGATGGAAATGATGATGTATGGTAATGGTGGTGGTGATGGTGTTGATAGTAATGTTAATTTAGTTTAGTTTTAATGGTCATGATGATGTTGATGGTATTGGTTTTAGTAATGATGCATTTCAGTTGTAGGTGATGATGACAGTAATGTTAACGATGATAGTACTGGTGGTGAAGATGATGTTCATGGTAATGTTGATGATAATGGTGGTGATGAGGGTAATTGTGGTGATAATGATGGTAATGATGATGTTGATGGTAATGGTGACGATGTTGACAGTATTGTTAATAATGACAGTAATGGTGGTGAAGATGATGTTCACGGTGTTGATGGTAATTTTGATGATGATGTCAATGGTGGTGAAGATGATGGTGATGTGAATGCTGATGATTGTAATGGTGGTGATGATGGTGATAATGATGGTAATGATGATGTTGATAGTAATGGCGATGATGTTGACAGTCTTGTTAATAATGACAGTAATGGTGGTGAAGATGATGTTCATGGTGGTGATGATGGTAATGGTGATGATGTTAATGGTAATGTTAATGCTGATGATGGTAATGGTGGTGATGATGGTGATGATGGTGATTTTAATGCTGATGATTGTAATGGTGGTGATGATGGTAATGGTGATGATGTTAATGGTAATGTTAATGCTGATGATCGTAATGGTGATGATGATGATAATTGTGGTGATAATGATGGTAATGATGATGTTGATAGTAATGGCGATGATGTTGACAGTATTGTTAATAATGACAGTAATGGTGGTGAAGATGATGTTCATGGTGGTGATGATGGTAATGGTGATGATGTTAATGGTAATGTTAATGCTGATGATGTTCATGGTGGTGATGATGGTAATGGTGATGATGTTAATGGTAATGTTAATGCTGATGATGGTAATGGTGGTGATGATGGTGATTTTAATGCTGATGATTGTAATGGTGGTGATGATGGTAATTGTGGTGATAATGATGGTAATGATAATGTTGATAGTAATGGCGATGATGTTGACAGTTTGTTAATAATGACAGTAATGGTGGTGTAGATGATGTTCATGGTGGTGATGATGGTAATGGTGATGATGTTGATGGTAATGTTAATGCTGATGATCGTAATGGTGATGATGATGGTAACTGTGGTGATAATGATGTAGGTGATGTTGATGATGTTTTACAGATGAAGGACAGTCTCCAGGCTCTTCCTCACTCTCTGTCCGAGTTGGTGCAGCTCACTCTGCTCAGGCTGCAGTCTCAGTTTGGGGCAGCAGGGCTGGACTGGACACTGGCCGCTCTGACCGTCAGCTCCACCGGTACAAGAATACTTTAATCACCATCAGTAAAACAGACAGTGTTGACTTAAGTTTGAGTCTCTAGTCTCAGCACTTTCCCCAAGATTAACTACATTAGCCTTGCGGCTCCAGCGTAAAACTAAAGAGTTCAGACTCCAAACATCTCGACTGACTGATTAATATTTAAGAGGAGAAACTACCACTTTAAACTACTTCAGTCTCTTATTGCTCTGTGGGTTTTGCCTCTTCTTTAAATATAGCAAAACTACAAAAATAGCATGCTTCCCTCAACTAGTCTGTTATCCATATTAATCATGTTATGATCCTAAGCTGCATCAGAGATGTATTTTCAGTGAGCATATGTTGTCTGGTGTCTCCTCAGGTCTGAGGGAGAGAGATCTGTACCCTCTGCTGAATCTGTGCAGTGACCTGAGATCCACTCAGCGCCCCCCAACATGGCAGGAAACACTACAGCTGGCCAGGAACCCAAAGAGCCGAGTGCCGATGGCAGTGTTTTACCAGCTGACCCAAAATTTACGAAGGTAAAAATTACATCATCATTTTCAGCCCTTAGACGTCTAGAGAAACTGATGCTGTTTTGCTGTACATTCATTTTACATCACATGATTATTTATTCATAATTACTACGAGTGTCAAAGTTATTGTCTCGTTTTGATGTCAAATAATGACAAATAACAACTTTTCATGTAACTGAAATCATAATATTTCCTCTTCTACTAACAAACACAAATGCAGTGTAGAGTAAAAGTCCCACAGCGAGTTTACAGAGAAATAGGAGCCAAATATGATTAATATACCTGAAAAAGTTTTTTATAGTGAAATAGACATGACGAGCTTGAAGTTGGCTTCCTATTCGCCAGATTCTTGTTCAAATTTTCCTGTTCCACCTTAAATGGCACCTGAGGTTGACTCTTGCACTGCAAAAAATGGTATCTTAGCAAGTGAAATTATTTGAGATTTTATCAAAACATCTAATAGTTCTCGGTTTAGGACTGTTGTAATCTTATTATGCGATTGTTTAACTCATTTTTAGATACTTTTTACTTGTTTTAAGTGTTTCAGTAAGTCAGATTATCTCAGGAGATAATTTTGCTTATTTCAAGCGTTTTTTTTACAACAAGCAAAATTATCTGCCAGCATGTTGAGATAATTTAACTTACTAAAATCACTTCAAACAAGTAAAAAAATATCTAGAAAGAAGTTAAATAGTCCTATAATAAGTTTAAAACAGTCTCAAAATGAGAAATATTAGATGTATTGATGGGATTTTCAATGGTTTCAGTTGCCAAGGTATCATTTTTTGCAGTGTAGTGGTCTCTCCACCTCTCAGGATCAGCTCAGCTAGAGAAATATTGCATATTTGGGCTGAGAATTGGCTGATAGCGATAAATAGCTGATCGATCCTTCCATCTCTGGTGGTGTGGATTGAAGGTTTACAGTCTGCACTTTCCATGCGTTAGTTTCTCCGCTTGTTCATGTGAGCTACACATCAGAAATAATGAATAAAAAATGACTACATGCTTTTATTATGTGATTACTGTGAACTCTAATGTCTTCAAATGCAGTTTGATCCGGCCGTCTGTTCCTCACGCACCGGACGAGCTCCTGACTCTGACCAATGAGGATGTGCGGTCAGCTTTCCAACAACTTTACGTCTCCACAGAGGAGGAGCGAACCAGAGCTCATCTGATCCTGGCAGGTAAGACAGCAGCTCAGCACTTCAGCCCTCGAACACAAGACGTTTATCGCTCTGCTCTGAGATCACAGCCTGAATGTTGTACGTTCACAGCTCACCTCTGGATACGATCGGATCCTCACGGGAACGACACCTTTATTCACTGTGACGTGGACGCTCTCACTCACCTGCTAAACCACCTGGTCAGTCAGTGCTTCCTTTTCTGAAGGCTTCACACCTCAGTTTGAGGGCTGTAAGCTAAGGGGCGCAGCAAGGTGTAATTTGAACTATGTGAGCTGTAATCGCAGCAGAATGTGAACTAATATGGTTGTTGTGTAAATTTACCACTTTATATGTGTTCATGGTAACACGGTGACATAACATTCACATAATCATGCCATAAACATGTAATGGCAGATGTTATTCAGCAATATAACAGTGTTATGTTAGCATTACTGGTAATTGTCATGACAGATCCCATAATGTTTGATGTTATAGCAGCCTGTGTCACATGCTGATTTTTGTGCTGTGTGCTGTAGCCGTCATGACATCAATCAACCTCTATCAATCAATCAACCTTTATTTAAACTTGAAGCACATTAAGGGAGACCGTTATCTAGCCAAACCAATATAGAGAACAGGGATTGAAAAATTGGATAATAAAAACATATCACTGCTGTCAGAACAAAACCTCATATCTCTAAAATGGTAACTTTACAGGAGAAGGAAAAAACCTACTTTACTTTGAATGGAAGTCAATGGAACCAGAGTTTTTTCCAAGTAGTTTTTGAGTGTTTCTTTTGGTTCATTCATCATGAAATTTACACACAATGTAAAGGACAACAGGCCTTTATATAATGTCAAAAACTGAAAAACAACCGATGGAAATTGAGATGTGAGGTTTTGTTCCGACGGCAGCGATATAAACACTAAAAAAGTTATATTAACCGTAATAGTACATTTTATAGTACACAAGTAAAAAAATCAGTAAAACCATTGAAATTGCAACATTACAGTAACTTTATAAATAACAGATCAAATAAGGATAAAATCAAATAAAAACATAATTAATATAATAAAGGAATAGAAGATGTAAAACAATAACTTGGCAACAATAGAATATCTCCATTTTTCAGTTTTTGACATTATTTGAAAATGACTGTTGATCTTTGTGTTGTGTGTAAATTTCATGATGAATGGACCAAAAGAAACGGCCCAAAATGACTTGTAAAAAACTCTGGTTCCATTGACTTACATTAAAAGTAGCGTATGTTTCTTCCCTCTCCTGTAAAGTTACCATTTTGAAGATATGAAGTTTTGTTCTGACAGCAGTGATAAATAAAAAGAATAATAAAAGTGAAACAGTAGCTAAAACATACAAAAATCATGTTAAAAGTTAACCAAAAATTAATAAAACATCAAACATTATGACATAACAAATACCAGTAATAATGGCATATTACTGTACATAATCTGCCATGACAGCATATGTCATGTTTACAGCATGGTTATGTAGCAGAGTTTGCATTAGCTCACTATATAGGATAAAGAGCTGTCAAAATAGAGTTTGAATATTAATTGAATTCTGTTACAAAACTGCACATTCAAATGTGCAAAATGTCAATTTTAACAATTAAATCTACCTCCTAGATTTTCTAGTATTTTTCACACCAGGAGTTTGAGAATGTGCTGTTATTGAATACAATGGATGCCAAACGCGAGACGTTCTGTCCACTTTATAAACCGATTAACAGTAACAGGCAGAAATACTGTCACATATGAGGTAACTGAACGATTTGCTTCAGACTTTTTCTAACAAGCAACCGCTCCATACATGGACAATCTGTACTGTGATTATGCGCATAATATTATAATATTATACTATAATAAGCATTAAGTTAGTGAAGTAGGCTGCTAGGAGACTCTGTGTACTGTCACTCACGCAGCCAGTCTGGGCATGAAGGTATAATTAACGTGGAGACTTCATGGAAATACTCAAAAATAAGTAACCATAAGCCTCTCCAAGCTTGAAAAATACTGGATTATAACACTGTGGGCTGCATATTTACGCTGAGCACCCCTTTTGGATTTTGGAGACATTAACTTGCTGTTTACTGCAGAAATGTAGTTGTTTTCTTAAAAAATATTTCAAGAAATTTCATTTCTGACCAGCTGATGTCCCTGCAACCCTCACTGAAAGCTCTCATGTTGTCCTTCTGCCCAGATGAAGTGTGGTCAGTGGGGGCCTGTGCGTTTCCTGCTGTCCAGTTACTACTTTCTGTATGCTAATGTGCGGCATGGACTCCTGCGCCCCCTGCTGGAGAACTTTGCATTGTTTTGTAAGTCATTGACTCATAAACTGTGCACATAGTTTACGTCAGTGTTTCTAAAGCCCTTAAATTAAATGCTTCACCCTATGAAGCTGATGAAGCTACTAATGAAACTGAAACTAAACGTTTAATTCACATTGTGCAGACTGGGTCCTGTTACTTAGTGCTAACTAATTTTACTTCCCTTACAAAAAAAGTATACTTAAAGTTAATTTTATTAAGTCAACTTAAGTAAAGTTCAGGTATATTTCCCAAGTCTACTTTATGTAGTACGTATACTAATATCAATGTACTAGTAGTTTAGTTGTAAGTGTACTATTTCAGTACTTCTTGGCCCAATTTTTAGTTTATAAAAGTATAATTTGAAGTATATCACAAGTCAAATTATATATAAAACCACTGGACTGACTGCGTGTCTATGGACTGTGGGAGGAAACCCACACAGACAAGGGGGAAACATGCAAACTCCACACAGAAAGGACCCTGGTTACCCGGCCTGGAGAATCGAACCCAGACCCTTCTTGCTGTGAGGCAACAGCGCCACCCTGTTTAGACACTTTAGACTTTAGACACTGTTACTTTATACTTACTTATACTTTTCTTCTCTACTTTTCAATCAAAAGTACAAATACAGGCTGAATATACTTAAACTTTTCTGTATACTTGTAAGAATAAGCCAAGTATACGTAAGGATAATTTTGTTTAGTATATTTCTCAAGTATATAAAAGTATACTGAAAGCGTACTCACTTATTTTTAGTTTAAAAGAAGTATACTAATAGCACACTTGACTAAACTTCTTCTTTGTAAGGGTTATTGTTAGCCATGCAGGCATTTTTGGTTGAAGTTTGCCAACACTACTATTTCCAGCAAGATGTGGCGACGCAGTGACTGTGAGAAAGTTCTGTGAGAGAGGTTTTAAAGTGTGAGCTGCTAAATGGTTATTCGTCTTACAGTTTTACTACAGTTTGCGTCTGTGTGTTATAATAAGTTAATATCGAGCTAAAAGCCTGTTTCCATATGGTTACCTACATATCCATTCATTTTACAGGTATTCAAATATCAAAATTTAGTAACACACATCCATATTCATTTTTCTCTTCATTTAATTTCCAATAGTAAAGAGAGATGAAGCTCACAGACCCTTCACAGAGCCATCAGGTGGGTCAATTTCACCTTCCGATTTTATATAGGAAAGTTATTTATTAATGTTTTTTTAATTATTATTTATTTTTTTGCATGATAGGCTCCTAAAATGTTATTTAATACTCACAGTAAAGGTGCGTGATGGGCTCCTAGAATATTATCTAATTACAATAAAGTCATAATGATGTGGAAATGTTGTCTTATTAAACACGTTTTACATTATCATAGTTATCGTTACATTATTTATTAAGCAAATGGATTAAAGTGATGGTTCTTAAAGAGCTGCGGTCCACATTTTTGTGCCAACTCATTGTGCAACACAGTGACAGAGGAAAAATATGAACCATCTAGAGGCTCTGAGGTTTGAGAACCACTGGCTTAGAAACGCTCTGCAAAACGCAAATCTGTTCATGCACAGTGATGTGGACCTCAGCAGAAACGTTTATGAAGCACATTAATGTTAAAAAAGGATCCCTGAAGACTTCATGGCCATGAATCTGATATGTATCTGATCTAGAACCACAGATGAAAGTGGCTCAGATCAGACTTGCGTTCACACAGCACTGAAAACGTCATATCTGAGTCAGATTAAGGACAAAAGTCAGATTTGTGCCACTTATAGTTATTATTTCATTGTTTCTCCTCTCTCTGCTCCGCAGGTGACTCAGGTGATCTTCAGCAATGTGCTGATTTCCTGAAGAGACACGCCCCCCTCCTCACTGATTGGCCGGCCTTGTTTGTGCAGCAGGCTCTGAACGAAGTGGACGGTTCTCCGGCTCAAGTCTGGGCTCAGAAGATGATCCAGCAGGGAGGAGTCAGAGCGCTGAAGTGGCTCAACAACACTGAACACACACTCAGACAGACTGGGTATGACTGAAACCTCACTGGTCATCCTGTACTGCAGTTTTATACAAAAAAATGTTGTATAAACCTGTAATAGAATAAACACAGAATAAACAAAAAAAAAGTATTAAAGTCCAGAACAACATCAGGAGCCTAGACAACACTGTTAGTGTTGACGATATTGTAAAATTATTGTTGAATTGTTGTAAAATCATCATTACATTATTGCGTAAAAGTTTACATTCAACACAAGATGATTTAAAATGTGTTAAATAAGACTTTAGGCATTTCAAATGTATTATGACTTTTTTGTGAAGATTAGACAACATTTTAGGAGTCTGTCATACAAAAAAAATTCAAAAATAATTGTATTGTAATAGAAAATTGTGAAAAATATTTTGAAATTTTATAGCAAATAAATGTTAGACCTTCAAACACAGTCCAGTGCAGATTCCCTCAAAAAATCTTTGCACTTAACAAACATTTTTTTTACTTGCTACTGATGGGAAATCAATTAATTAAAAATGATAAAATAGCATTTTATGCTTTTTTATATTGCTGTATTCTGTGTTTGTATGTGTGAGTGTAAATCTCACTGATTGGTTTATTATTATTTATTAGTGACCTGGTGTCCAGTTTGCTCTGGACTCCGTCCTGTGTGGCGGTCAGTCCAGGGGGAGGACGCGTGGTGGTGGGGACAGAGAAGGGCACTCTGCACGTTTTCCTCTCTAAGACCTTACAGGTACTAACAGCTACTGGAGCACATACAGATCCTTTAACACTGCAGTGCTGTTACTGTGTTACCTTCAGGATGGTCTAGACCAATAGTTTGGTCCAGGTTGGTCCAGGCCGATATGTCGGGGGAGTTCAGGCTCTGATTTTGATCATGACTCTCTTGCTCTCTGAAACAGGAAGTGAAGTCACTGGTCAGCAGCTGTGATGGCATCTCTGGCTGCGTCTTCCTGGAGGAGTCTGTGGTCTGTATCACCTTGTACAGCGGTCAGGTGGAGGTGTGGGACATTCACTCCGGCTGCAGGTGAATACTTTCATTCAGAAACCCTCTGTTAGGACTAGAACCTTCTTACTGATCTGAGATCAAACAGCTTCAGAGAGCGGATAGTTACGACATCTACTACTACTAATACATCTACCACCATTACTACTACTACAACTGCTACTAAAACTACTACTACTACTAATACATCTACTACCACTGCTACATCTACTACTACTACTAATACATCTACTACCACTGCTACATCTACTACTACTACTACTAATACATCTACTACCACTGCTACATCTACTACTACTACTACTAACACATCTACTACCACTGCTACATCTACTACTACTACTACTAATACATCTATTACCACTGCTACATCTACTACTACTACTACTAACACATCTACTACCACTGCTACATCTACTACTACTACTACTAACACATCTACTACCACTGCTACATCTACTACTACTACTACTAATACATCTACTACCACTGCTACATCTACTACTACTACTAATACATCTACTACCACTGCTACATCTACTACTACTACTACTAATACATCTACTACCACTGCTACATCTACTACTACTACTACTAACACATCTACTACCACTGCTACATCTACTACTGCTGCTAATACATCTATTACCACTGCTACATCTACTACTACTACTACTAATACATCTACTACCACTGCTACATCTACTACTACTACTAATACATCTACTACCACTGCTACATCTACTACTACTACTAATACATCTACTACCACTGCTACATCTACTACTACTACTAACACATCTACTACCACTGCTACATCTACTACTACTACTAATGCATCTACCACTATTACTACTACTACTACAACTGCTACTAAAACTACTACTACTACCACTGCTACATCTACTACTACTACTAATACATCTACTACCACTGCTACATCTACTACTACTACTAACACATCTACTACCACTGCTACATCTACTACTACTACTAATACATCTACCACTATTACTACTACTACTACAACTGCTACTAAAACTACCACTACTACTGCCACTGCTACATCTACTACTACTACTGATACATCTACTACCACTGCTACATCTACTACTACTACTGATACATCTACTACCACTGCTACATCTACTACTACTACTAATACATCTACCACTATTACTACTAGTACTACAACTGCTACTAAAACTACCACTACTACTGCCACTACTACTACTAATACATCTACCACTATTACTACTACTACAACTGCTACTAAAACTACTACTACTACTACCACTGCTACATCTACTACTACTACTAATACATCTACCACTATTACTACTACTACAACTGCTACTAAAACTACTACTACTACTACCACTGCTACATCTACTACTACTACTAATACATCTACTACCACTGCTACATCTACTACTACTACTAATACATCTACTACCACTGCTACATCTACTACTACTACTAATACATCTACTACCACTGCTACATCTACTACTGCTACTAATACATCTACTACCACTGCTACATCTACTACTACTACTAATACATCTACTACCACTGCTACATCTACTACTACTACTAATACATCTACCACTATTACTACTACTACAACTGCTCCTAAAACTACTACTACTGCCACTACTACATCTACTACTACTACTAATGTATCTACCACTATTACTACTACTACAACTGCTACTAAAACTACTACTACTACTACCACTACAGCTATATCTACTTTTACTACCACTACTACTACCACTACTACTAATATATCTACCAGTACTAATACATGTACTTCTACTACTACTAATACTGCTACTACAACTACTACTAATAATATATCTACCACTACTAATACATCTACTACTACTACTGCTACTTTGCTACTACTAACACTGCTACATCTACTACAACATTTACCACTACTACTTCTACTGCTACTACTGCTACTCATACTGCTACTACTACCATTACTAAAACTATTACTACTACCACTACTACAGCTACTACTACATTTACCACTAGTAGTTTTCTATTACTACCACTACTGCTGCTACTACTACTACTACTACTACTACTGTTCTACTACTACCACTACTATGTCTACTACTACTACTTCTACTACTAAAACTACTATTAATAATTATTACTACTACTTCTACTACTGCTACTATTGGCAGTTATTCCAGTATTTCTTATGCTACTTCTACTGCTTCTTGTACTTATACTACTGCTACTACAACTACTTCTGCCACTACTACTGCTACTACCACCACCATCACCACTACCACCACTGTTACTTTTACTACTACTACTACTACTATTAGGTATCCCACCACTTCTACTGCTTCTACTTATACTACTACTTTTATTTCTACTTTTATTTCTTTCATTATTAATTGTACTACTCCTACTGGTACAACTGCTACTAACAGTACTACTTCTATTTTTTCTATTGTTTCTTCTATTTTTTCTACAACTTTTACTACTAATGCTGCTACCACCACTACCATTTATTTCTGTTTCTATTACTATTTCTTCCTACTTCTAGTGCTTCTACAACTGCTAAGATATAGATATTGATTAATTATCAAAATGATAAATTGGATAATTAGCTGATGATCCTAAAACCAGATTGTGAACGGTTTCTATCAGGCAGTGAGATTTGAGGGTTTTAAAAGCCAGTATATATGTTTTTTCCTCCAGGACGTCCCGTCTGAAGGTCCACTCCAGCAGAATCACAGGTTGTGATGTCAGCTCAGACAGGAGACTCTTTGCGACCGTCTCTCTGGACTTCAGCCTGAAGGTCAGACCTGCTGGACGTGTTTTAATGTCTGAATCTCGTTTGTGCTGATGTTCTAGTGTTGTGATGTCACGACTTTTGTTGCTGTGGTTACGTGTAGGTGTGGTCATCCCGTGGGCTCCAGCAGATGGCGTCTCTCCTCCAGCCCTCCCCTCCAAACTGTGTAACCTTTGACCCTAAGGGTGGGCTGCTGGGGGTGGGCTGCTGGGACGGAGTGGTGAGAGTTTGGGACTGGAAGAGACGAGAGAACCGTGCGGTGAGGAAGAGGACAAGTGACCACAGCCGTGCACATTAATCACTCATCTTCATCATCATCATCATCATCAGCTACATTACAAATACAGCATTTTCACTTTTATTCTCTCTTTCTTTCTTTTCTTTATCTCTACTCCTCCTTTTCTGTCTTTCTCTCTCTCTCATTTTGGCCCCTCTTATTTTCCCTCTTCTCCTTTTTTCTTTTTTTTCTCTTCCTCTCTCTCTCTAATCTCTGTATTTCCTGTCTCTCTCTCTGCTGACTATCTCTCTTCCCTCTCTCTCTTTTCTCTCACTCTCTTTTCTCTCTTTCTCTCTTCTTGCTTTTTCTTTTTCTCTCTCTCTCTCTGTCTATTCTTGCTCTGTTCACTCTCTTTGTTCACTCAATTCTCTCTCTTTCTCTCTCTTTTTGTCTCTCTCTCTCTCTCTCTCAGACTCTCTCAGGTCATCACTCGTCCGTGCTCTGTCTGTCGTTTTCTCCCTCCTCCTCCTCTTTGCTGTGTTCAGGTAGTTTGGATGGGGAGGTCAGGTTGTGGTCAGTTCCTACGGTGTCCTGTGTGTGGTGCTGTCAGGCTCACCGCGGCTCTGTTGCAGAGATCAGTTTTCTGCCTGATGGAGAGACGCCGCTGAGCGCCGGACGAGACGGAACGGTGAGGAAAGCCATTAGTACTGCACAAAAAGTGGACATGTTTAATTAGAATATATTCCAGTACAGATTACTGATCACCTGTTGTTATAATCTGTAACCATATTCAAAGGATTAATAGATTAATATAATCTGATTGCTTTCCATTACGTTTGAATTACTTGTCTTTTTAAAGGCAAGTTCAAACAACTTTCACATTAACATTGTGCTAACAAAATAGTCAAGATTTCATTGTAGGGCAGTGCTGGTTAGTTGTTTTTTTGTTGGAGGGGCTACTAGGAATTATGTCCCAGAGACATAAGTGAGTGAGTATGACAACCACCAACCACCAACTAGCCACCTAGACAACTTCAGTGTAGCTTCAACAATCAGTAGCTTCCATAATCAGTTACTCAGTCAACCAGTTAACTAGGTTTAGGTGTGTAACGTGCGACCAGTAAGCAGACGCTCGTGGATGTAAAACAGTGAAGAAGCTTTACTTGGGGATTCAAACAGAGATATCATCGTCAGTACACAGGCATGGGTCAGTTCCAAAGTCAGCAACAAAACACAGAAGGCGATCATAACAAAGTGAGGCAAGGCAGATCAGAGTCAGAACACAGGCGAAAGTCAAAAACCGAATAACCAAAAAACCAGGCGACAGTACCAAAAGGGCAAATCCGAAAAGCAGAGAAAATGAGAAACAGAGTCAAAACACAAGGTCAAAAACACGGGAGATCCAAACCAGAAAGAACGCTCAGTAGTTTCACTAGGAAAGCAATACCTCGCACTGAACCTGACTATAGCCCAGGCTAATATAATAACTAAAACAGGTCATGTGAGAAAACATACAGGTGAAAATGATCCATATTCAGGAGAACTAGAGCAGTGATATGCTGCTGATGATCTTCCCAGGAATCGTAGTTTTGAGTCACTTGTGTAGACGGAGGATTTGATGACGCGAGATCCTGAGTCACGTAAGCAGGCAGAGGATTCTGGGAACCGTAATTCTGAGGCTGGCTGGCCAAATACGTGACAGGTGATAATTGGGAACATTGAACATCTGAGACTTTTGCTTTGTGACATGGTGCTTTATCATGCTGGAAGTAGCCATTAGAAGATGGTAAATTGTGGCAATGAAGGGAGGCACATGGTCAGCAACAATACTCTGTGGCATTCAAGTGATGATAAATTGGTATTAACAAGCCCAAAGTGTGCCAAGAAAACATTCCCCACCCCATTACACCGCCTCCATCAGCCTGGACTGTTTACACAAGGCAGGTTGGCTCCACGGATTCACGCTAACTGAATTCTGACCCTACCATCTGTGAGCCTCAGCGAAAACCGAGAATCATCAGATCAGACTAGATTTTTTCAGCTTTGTCTGTCCAGTGTTGGTGAGCCTGTGTCCACTACAGCCTCAGCTTTCTTTTCTTGGCTGTCAGAAGTAGAACCTGACGTGGTCCTCTGCTGTTGTAGCCCATCCACCTCACGGTTCGATGTATTGTTCATTCTGAGATGCTTTACTTCTCACCACAGTCATGCAGAGTGGTTATCTGAGTTACTGTATCCTTTCTGTCAGCTCGACCCAGTCTAGCCGTTCTCCACTGACCTCTCTCATCAATAAGTTGTTTCCGTCCGCAGAATTGCTGCTCACTGGGTGTTTTTTTTTATTATTATTGCTTCATTCTGAGTAACTCTAAAGACTGTTATGTGTGAAAATCCCAGGAGATCGGCAGTTACAGAAACGCTCAAACCAGCCCGTCTGACAACAGTGATCATGCCATGGTCAAAATTCCTGAAATTTTTCCCCCATTCTGATGGTTGATGTGAACATTACCTGAAGCTGCTGTCCAAATCTATATTTCTATATTTAATGCACTGCACTGCGGCCACACGATTGGCTGATTAGATAATTGCATGAATAAAAAGGTGAGTGTATATTATGTTATATTACATTATATATGCTGTTCTAATTAACACAGATGTGGTTTGGATTGAAAGGTTAGAATCTGCACTTCCCACACAGTTTATTCTGCGAGTCAGAAATAATTAAGATTATTACAGTGGCCTAATCAAGTACTGAAACTGTAATAAATAGTTTTCCTCTCTCTCTCTGTAGGTGCAGCTTCGTGGCCTTGTTTATTGCTACAGCGGTGCTGTCCGCGCCTTAGCGAGGGGACGTGACGGGCGTTTTTTCTCGGTATCTGATGACCGCACTCTCAGAGCATGGAGCGTCACTCCAGGTCCTGACTGACAGCCAGTTCATCTGTGCTTAAGTAGAAAATCATTCAGATTCAATTCTGTGCTGAAGTGCAGGTAGAAGAGGCACAGAGGCATTAGGCATGCATTACCCATCTACATGATACGTTACGTTAAACATAACAAGCACATAGATATAAAAGGAACATTTCTTTCATCAGTAATGATCTGTTAGAAATACTGATCTGAAACAAGAAAACTAGAACAAGATTAGATTCAAAGAAAACATGCAGCATATTTTGCAGTATTAATACACATCTCGGGTTTGTTTTCCAGTTGTTCCCTAAACATGTAACAAAATCATCATAGTCCACAAAAACAAACAAGCTCTAGAGCTGTATCAGTGTAAAAGGCATTTTTGGATAAAAGGAAAAGGTCATTTACAGATGACAGATGTCATAATTGCCCAAGTATTGAGCCTTGAGGCACCCCATGCATATTTTAATAATAAGTAGTAATACATAAGCAGTTCATACAGTGTGTGCTGAATTTTATTTTATTTATTGATTCTTGTTTGAGCAACTGTTCTCAGCTTTTTGCTCCATTTCTGAATTTGTCTATAGAAAGACGTCTTAAAGAGAAGGATTTCTTGAGTGCGGCCTGCTTCCTAGAGAAAGGTGAACTGCAGGCGTGTGGTTTCAGATCAGGCAAACTGGAGTTATGGCATCACAACTCGCTGATTTACTCCAAAAAGGTACCTCAGAATTAATGAGCTCTTATTCGTTCAGGATCATCACCACCACCGTGTCATTACAGCAGCTCATAAGCACAGTTTTTAAAATACTACAGTATCTAAATTACTCTGCGTGGTGTTTGGTGTGTTGTAGGTTAATGACAGCTGTATTCGGGCAGTGACCGGTATGCCGGATAAACAGCTGGCTGTGGGCTGCAGTGACCACTCTGTGTCTGTGTGGAAGTTTGACTTGGACTCTCAGCCCTGCACTGCAGAGTAATAATAATAATATTAATCAATAATTTTAATAACAATAAAATAGCAGATCATTTCAGTAAACACAAATTTTCAGTAGAATAGGAGATATTAGCCCATTAGCGACCTGTAGATACTAGTCCATGAACACCCTTAATAATAGCTTCTTTATGCTTGGATAGTAGATATTAGTCCATGAACATCAATCAATGCTCCTATATGCTACAGTAGTTGATATTAGTCCATAAACAACATCAATAATCACTCCTTTACCAGTGGTCACCAGCCCCTCTCCTAAAGAGCTACCTTTCTGCAGATTTTAGCCCCAACCATAATCAACCCCATCCATCATCTAAACCGCTTATCCTTCTGGGTCGCGGTGGGGTGCTGGAGCCTATCCCAGCTGTCGTTGGGCGGAAGGCAGGATACACCCTGGACAGGTCGCCAGTCCATCACAGGGCAGACAGACAGACATACACAGTCACACACACACTCACACCTAGGGGCAATTCAGCATGTCCAATCAGCCTGACTGCATGTTTTTGGACTGTGGGAGGAAACCGGAGTACCCGGAGGAAACCCACACAGACACGGGGAGAACAGGCAAACTCCACACAGAAACGACCCTGGTCACCCGGCCGGGAGTCGAACCCAGGCCGTTCTTGCTGTGAGGCAACAGCGCTACCCATTGCGCCACTGTGCCGCCCACATAATCAACCCCACTATCTATTTATTGCCTGTAGAAGTCCTTGATTAGCTGGAAGAGGTGTGTTTAGATGGTGAGTTGGCAGCAAAAGCTACAGGAAGGCAGATCTCCAGGACATGGCTTGGTGACCACTGTCCCATACATTAGAATAGGAGATATTAGTCCATAAACAACAGCGATGAACATCCCTATATGCTAGTTAGGAGACATAAACAACCTCAATAAATGCTCGATTATGGCAAAAATAATAATCAGGATTATTTTGGTCAATACTGAGATCGCGATTATTTAACAAGATTACTCACTGACTTTGGAAACATCATGGATTTATTTAATCTTTTTAAAAAAACTTGTCTTTTTAACAGTGCATTTCCTTGAACTTTAAATATAATTTAAAATTGAAAAACAAATAAAAAATAAATAGAACAAAATTATTAATAAAAGAATAAATAATATAACATATAAATATGTGTACATTTATATAGGTGATATAAAAATAATAAGGATGAGAACAAATAAGATCAACTAAGCTGTACTGCACTTCCAAAACCTGCTGAAAACTACTTAACATATTTATAAATAATAATTAAAAATAAATTTGACTGAAATAAATTAGATGAGGTTTTTGGCGTTTAGGGAGGGGTGATAGTGCACCACTGTAAAGGAAAGGGGCGTGCTGGATTTATAATGCTAGACCAAACGAGAGCATCATTGCGAAACGGAATGCAACACAATAATTGTTTGATCTTGTTGTCAATTGTCTTGTTTTCATAATCTTTGGAAGCCAAAATCATAATTGAAAATAAAATTTTAATTAATCGCTCAGCCTTAGCTTCTATAAGATAGAATACATTTTTAATGACTGCCTTTGAAAGCAAGACGTCTGTTCATGATGAAAACTGTCCCCTTCATTATGCATATGGATTATATCATATCTAATCTCATCAGAAGTATCTCCTGAGAAATGTACTTAATGGCTGTAAAGTAAATAAGTACTCTCTCACTCTTACCTAAGTACTCTCTGACTTTTGTACAGTAATGTAGAAGCTACAGATTCAGAGTCCTGGAGGATGACTTTGTCTTATTTTGTATTTGTTTTGTCTGTAGTCTGTCGAAGGTGTTGTCGTATTCGGTGAAATCTCCTGTGGTTCGCCTGCTCTACAATAACATCCTGCTGGGAGTTTATGTTGACTCCTGTATCAGTGTCATCACCTCTAAAATGATAGATAGTATCAGATTCAATCAGGAGTAAGTGTGTACACACACACACACACACACACACACACACATATATGCTAATACATATTCATCTCCACTTCAGGAGAAGCTCACTGTATGAGTATGAAGACACTTTGGCCGTGTTCAAATCACTTTGTTCATTCTGAACAGTTAAGAGTTGCTAGTTACACTGCAAGACCTGAGCAACCACAATAGATACCATAGCAACTGCCCTGCAACATCCTAGCAACCACCTGAGATACCATAACAACTACCAACCTCCTAGCAATTACCTCCAGCACCATAGCAACCACATTGCAAGACCTTAGCAACCACCTGGGGTAGCTTAGCAACCACTTAGCAACACCTTAGCAGCCACCAGAAATACCATAACAACCATTTAGCAGCGCCCTAGCAGCTACCAGAGATACCAAAGCAACTGCCCCGCAACACCCTAGCAACCACCCAAGATACCATAACAACCACTTAGCGACCACCAGGGATAGCATGACAACCACCTATTAACATCCTACCAAGCACCTTCAGCACCATAGCAACCACACTGCAAGACCTTAGCAACCTCCTGATATAGCATAGCAGCCACTTAGCAACACCTCAGCAGCCACCAGAGATACAATAACCATTTAGCAATGCCCTATCAGCTACCAGAGATACCATAGCAACCGCCCTGCAACACCCTAGCAACCACATAGTAAGACCCTAGCAACAACCCAGCAACCATCTAACAACCTCCTAGCAACACCGCAGCAATACCAGGGAACCTCTTAGCTGCAGTCACTCTGTGTTCTTCAGGAAATGCTCTTGTCTCCTTTCATTCTGTTACGTTGTTGCAGCTGGACGAATAACACACGACCTCTGGGGGTCGCGAAGAACGATGAAAAGAGCATATGGGTTCTAGGAGAACATAAATGTGAACTCCGGCTCATCTTCACCGTGAGTACCTGCACGTCTGCACAGGTAGAGCCGAACGTAGGAGTAGGAGTAGTATCAACAGCATCAGTTATTATTATTATTATTATTATTATTATTAGCAGTAGTAGTAGTAGTGGTAGTAGTATTGGCAGTTAATATTATGATTATTGTTTTCAGATATTAGTATTATTTTTATTAGTCAGCAATTATTAGTATTACTTACTACTATTAATTATAATAATTATTTCAACGTTGTAAAATAAAATCATATTTCATTTCTTCATATTCATATTGATGCACATACCCGGTTTTCAGGTGGTGAAGCGGTGGCTGGTGTTCAGTGGGGAACTCCAAGTGCCTTCTGGCAATTTTTGCAATGAAAATAAATTAATAAATAAATAAAATAATGTAGTTAATTGTGCAATTTTTAGGTCACTTTAATTGAATAGAATCACCATGATTGTTTATATAAAGGGAGATTCACTCGAAAGAGGCCCCAAATATTCTGCTGTAGCTCCCGTTAGGATGAAGCATTTTCGAACGGCCTCCACCACTAGAAGGGATGAATGATCCCATCTTATAAAGCTCTTTGAAGGTACGTCACGAACACCATATTTCTTCCTAAATTCACTCTGACATCGCTTAAACGAATTGGTGACCCAATAGGTTTGCACCATGAAGACACGCCGCTCAGTGCTGAGTGAAGGGGCATGGGGGTCTGCACCCGGAAGTTGCAAATGAAGGTTAATGTCGTGACGGCTGTCCGGCGCCTACCTCATCACTCTGACGCAGGGGCATCCCGGCTTGTTCGAAGCTCCATATACTGAGGAGCTCATTGTTTCGTTAGATTACTTTGTTCTAGAGAGAGTTATTACAGAATATTCGGGGCCTCTTTCGAGTGAATCTCCCTGTATATATATGCACTTATCGTCTGAAATCTCACTCAGTCTCCCAGCTTACGCTCGCACTTCAGTTGGCCACGTGTGGGAGTTTCCTGTGAATTCTAATTGAAATAAAGTGTTACTGAGTCGGTATTTATTTAAATAATGCTTTATTTTTTTTTTGAATAATCTGAAGGTCAACACACTCAAAAAGATGGTTCTTCAAGGGTTCTTTAGTAAAGAAAATGGTTCTATGTACAACCTTTTTGAAAATGGCACATTGTCAAGCTTGTAACAACAGAATAACCCTTTTGGGTGCTATATAGAACCGTTTTCAAGAAAGTTCTAGAACCATCAACAGCACATTTTTCATCAGTCTGAAGAATGATTTTGTGATGCAAAGAACCCTTTAATCATGCAAAGGGTTCTTTGAGTGTTAATGATTCTATATAGAACCATTTTCTTTACTAAAGAACCCTTGAAGAACCGACTTTTAACCGAGTGTCGTAAGCATCATTATACTATTTTTTTCCAAAATGTTAAACAAGGTAAACTTGGAAAGATCAGGACTGAGGTCATTGATTACCACTTGCAGTCAACAAACTGAAGTCGGTCATTTCAGTTTATTATTTCTGCTCGGATTTTACATTTTGGAGGTAAACAGTTGTTTACATATATGAGCTTTTGCTGGTCTTTAGTGTCACGAGGCAATGTTTAAAAAGCAGAACCGATGTTTCACACCTTGAGCTGCAGACATGAATTACTCAGACATCGGCTGCTTCCTGATTGGAGAGATGCATCACGTTGGCCAGATTCATTTCCATAAAGCTCAGCTCCAGCCAACTTTTCGACAAACCACAACCCCAAATCCGACTCGCCATAACTGTGATGCACGGCATGGCTGTGTCTGATGGAACCGAAGCTTCCTATTAAAAACGAATGGTGTACATTGTGGTGCGTTGATGCGCTGGAGCAGTGTAAATGCACCGTCAGGGCCCTGACACACCAAACCCAACGTCTCCCATTGTTCAGCACCTGTGCTCCACCGTCCCCAGTAGATTTTGCGGTGTGTTCCACAGTGTTGGCTCTAGTCGGCCCTTGTCAGCGCCAGTTGAGCCAACTGAATCAGCAGCTTTAGTCAGCAGAGAGAGTTTTCTGATTGGTTGTTCAGCTTAGATAGTCAGTGCATGAGAAGAGAAACAGTCAAGGAAACACAGAATATCTCATTTCTAATATTCAAATAACACAATGAAAAAACATTTCTCAATAAACAAGAACTCAGTCGAGCTATGAAGGAGCTCAGGCCCACTGACACTTCAGGTACCAGCATGTTTTGTCATATAAACATCAACGTGTGCCACAGTTTAATGTAGAAACCTTCACTTTATAAGTAGCCTTTGTTTATCTGATTACCACCATTATTATAATGCTAATTTCTGTTAGTGGCTTTGTGATCGCTAACGGTGGCATACCTTCACTTTAAACACTGGTTTTAATGTCCTTTATGGCAGCTCTACCTTAACGGACATTTGAAACTTGTAAGATGTTTAAGTCACACTTTATTTACTTTTTATGCGGCAGTTATACAGTGAACGTTTAAGTAAATACTTCAGTTTAAAGCCTAATTCTGAATCTTAGCTTAAACAGATTGATCTAAACAATTAAATAAAATTTCTCGTTCATGTTTCCCTGCAGCTCTCTGTAGTTTCCGACAAACACTGGCAAACGTCTTTCTGTGACGTTCAGCTTGGTGGAGAGAAAGACAGCGATGGTGAAGAGGATGAAGAGGAGTCTAAGTCTAAAGGGTCATGTGAGGAGCCAAATAAGGAGGTGCATGAAGAAACGTTTGTGAAACAGTCTGAGGAGCCACACGAGGAGAGGCAAGACGGAACCTGTGAGGAGCAGTCTGAGGAGACATCTGAGGAAGTATGTGAGGAGCCACATAAAGAAACACATGAGGAACAGTCTGATAAGGCGTGTGTAGAACCATGTGAAGAAACGCATGAGGAACAGTCTGAGGAACATTGTGAGGAATATAAACCAAGGAAAACGTTGATTTCAGCTGCAGCTATGCATAGAGGTACGTTCCTGCCCTAAAAAGCAGGGAACCCCAATATCTGCCTCATGCAAAATACTGATATCAGTCACGCTTTCAACTCCGCAGATGATTTATTTAGCCTTCTGTTCAGGCTGAACACAGAAAAGCTATGTTTACTTCAAATGTTATCCCCTTAAACCCTAAGAGTCTGTGTGGGGGTCCACATTTAAATGTAATAACTACAAAACTGTATGTATTAGTTTAATATTAGTCACCAAGTAATAGCAATATTTACTGAATAAATTTTGCACTAAAATCACTGTAATGCATGGCATCTTTTGGCTAATAGCCTGTTTTAAAACAGCTTTGAACATGGCTAAGCTAATCATTCACCATCAGAAGTTAGACATTATTTACCCTTAACAACAACTTTAACGGCCCAAGTACGGAGGCTTGAGGTACCTACCAGGGAAAATCGAGCACCTCCTTGCGGAGCGTGTGTTTATTTGGCTGTTAAAGAACTATTTGTGGGATTCATAGACCACTATGTTCCACCTGTGCTCACTCTGTACCTTTCCTTCGCTCCACACTCAGGGTTTATTGTGTGTGGAGATGTCAGAGGGTACATGTGGTCCTACCAGCCACCAAGCATGACCTCGAGTGAAAAAAGACAAGTAAGCGTTCTCTTTCTTATTTCTTACAGGGGTGGGCGTGAGTAATTGACTCATAATTGACTCGAGTACTCATTACAGAGCTACTGGTAAAATACTGCTAAAATACACATGAGGATCTCTCAGTGAGTGTTTACACTTAATAATCAGATAAATGCAGAAAATCAGACTGTGTCAGTAACTGGTTCAGTGTGTTTACACTTAATAATCAGATAAATGCAGAAAATCAGACTGTGTCAGTAACTGGTTCAGTGTGTTTACACTTAATAATCAGATAAATGCAGAAAATCAGACTGTGTCAGTAACTGGTTCAGTGTGTTCACGCTTAATAATCTGATAACTGCAGAAAATCAGACTGTGTCAGTAACTGGTTCAGTGTGTTTTCATGCTCTTGGGTAATCAGATAATGGGGAAACTCCAGGTCTACATGAGTCAGACAGTAATCAGATTTCTGCTTTGCAACCGGCCAATAAACTCACAGAATAAGACGTGGCATAAACGTAACATAAAACTCAAACTTCATGCCTTCACTCCAAAAGTGTTTTGCTGCGTCTCACGGCAACGCTGCTGGCTTATTTCCAGTACTGCTGCATGTTTTCACACATGCACAGACTGAGAAATCTGAAAGAAATCAGAGTAAGAGTTCACATGCACTGAGAAATCTGATTACTGAGCTAAAATCCAGCCTTTTTTATCAGATTTTTGAATCAGATTTCTAGACCTTTCTCCGATCTAAGAAATCAGAGTGTGCTGTTTACATTGCCATTTGAATAATCAGATAGCTGCAGAAATCCGATTATTATCGGATTATTGAGTGCATGTAAACTCATTTACCTGTTAATGACTTCAAACTAAACTTGAATAACAGAGGTGCTTTCAGTACAGTGACTATATTTTGCTCTGAAAGGCTCATTGTTATCTTAATATACTATTTACCCTTTAAAAAACTTCTGTATTTTAACGGAGGCTATTGTTCGTTTATTTTTTAAGCAGCTATCGAATGTGCCATATAGCAAGGAACAGAAAGCCCAGTTCTGTTTTGGTAATAATGCTGTTAATAAAGCAGAAGGTAAAGTTGGTCCCTCAGTTGAACTATGTGTTTTTCTCTGATGCTCTTAGGGAGTTTCTCCTTGTCCTGGTTCCTCTCAGTGGTTCTTCCTCAAGCTCAGTTTTTCTGGAAAGCTGATCTGGGACAGTGGTTTTAGGAAGTGCTACACAAATAGAACTGTAATGAACTGAACTGAAGGCAGTGTTGGTGAACATGGCTGATGCTTTCTGACCCCTGTAGGCTCACAGTGACCAGGTCAGCGTGCTTCGCCTCACAGATAGAGCCATTATCTCTGCCTCTTACGATGGGACTGTCAAACTGTGGGACAGAAACACAAAGAAACAGGTGCTTTTACACATTTCTCTCTGAGTGAGTGCTCACTACCGTGCTGAGTGTGTGTGTGTGTGTGTGTGTGTGTGTGTGTGTGTGTGTGTGTGTATTAAATATCTTTGGAATCACTCACATTTGGACACACCTGACTGAACATATGGTTTTCATAATATTACAGACGTTTTCATCTAAAGGCTTAAATTTCATAACTGCTTCAAGTTACGTTCATCTAACTAGTTGTTACCAAATTATTTGTAGTAATTACTAAATAAAGTTTTAAGATTAATAGCACAGTTATATGCAAACGTTTAGACACCCTGTGGTCAAATTAAATTTTTTGTTGATTTGAATAAAGTGAAAATAAGTTAACACATCCTTGTTTTTCTGCAATTTTTAGTGCATTTTCTATTTATTTGAGTTTAACATATTGGAAACGGTTAAACATAAAATGTGCCATAACTTTCGCACATGCTGCCTTTAATTTTTTTCCCATATAAGTTAAATTCAGTTAATATACAGTACTTGTGTTTTTAAAAGTGTGTTCTCTATAGAGGATGCATCTATTTTCACTTAGAAATTAAACAAAAACAGGTAATTTGATCCAAACGTTTGTATATGACTGTATGCACTACTGTAGTATACAGAGTTCTTTTTAAACAATAGTTTTAAACATGGCTCAGCTAATCAGTTTTCATTTACCCTCAGATGTCAGACATTACTTACCCTCGACAAAAACATTAATGGGCCAAGTATTGAGCCTTGAGGTACCCCACATGAAAAAAATATTTGAAATCAGCTATTACACCATGAGTATTATTTACAATGACAACTTACACAAACATGCTGTTTTAATACCTTCAATCCCCACAATGCACTTTCAAACACGCAGCCCCTCCCAAAAAAGTGCTTTTCATTCAAAACTTTAATGAAATTTAGTGTTAGAAAATGTTGAAGTCCAGATATTTTATCCGTGTTATATACAGTATGTGCCTCATTAAAAGTTCCTTATGTGTTATCACGTCGTTCTAATGTCGTCACTATTACTCTACGATGTGGAAAACAGTAAAATAAGGAAAAGCCCCTTTATGAGTGGGCGTGTTCAAACCTTTGACCAGTTCTGTACACGTTCTTTCTGTCCCTCTGCGACTTTCTCTGTCCTTCTCCAGGTGGGTCTGTTTGTTTGTGGGGCTCCGGTGGAGATACTGGAGGTGAACGAGGATGACCCCGGTCAGCTGATGTGCGGAGATGCCTTGGGGCAGGTCTACTTCCTGTCCTGGACTGGGTGAAGCCCCCCAACGCCTTTACATTCAGGCTGCAGACACGCCCCCAGCTAGTTAATCATGGATAGTACACTATACACTATAAGTGTTCCTGCAGCTCATTTTGCCGTTTACACTAGCATTCAAGAGTTTGGGGTTATATTTACAGGCTTTATGTATTTTCTCTACAATAATAACTATAGTGATTTTAGGGATGCACAGGTAATGAATTTATATGGGTGATTCTGATTATTTATCCTCAACAAAAACATTAATGGGCCAAGTATTGAGCCTTGAGGTACGCCACATGAAAAAATATTTGAAATCAGTGAATAATTACTCCATGAGTATTATTTACAATGACAACTTACACAAACATGCTGTTTCAATACCTTCATTCCCCACAATGCACTTTAAAACACGCAGCCCCTCCCAAAAAAGTGCTTTTCATTTAAAACTTTAATGAAATTTAGTGTTAGAAAATGTTGAAGCCCAGATATTTTATCCTTGTTATATACAGTATGTGGCTTGGGGTGAAGCCCCCCAATGCCTTCAGGCTGCAGACACGCCCCCAGCTAGTTAATCATGGATAGTGCACTATACACTGTAAGTGATGTTCTCAGGGTTCCTGCAGCTCATTTTGCCGTTTACAATAGCATTCAAGAGTTTGGGGTTTCTTTACAGCCAAACTGACTGATTTTTATTAACTTCTTCAAACCTGAAGCTGTTTGGACTATTGAACACATGAAACACACGAGCACATTTCCAGCACTTTCTATTACACAAAATCACAATATAAATAAGTTTTTGTTCTTTAAGGGGCCACATTAAAAGTAAGAAGCAATTGGCTATTTAGCACAATGAGTATAAATATATTATGACACTATTATTGTTGTTATACTATGTACTGTAAGTACAAAACAGCAGTTTAAATTCCAGCTTCTATTCTTTTCAGGAGACTCACTTTCAGTTTCTCAAAGAATCTGCAGACACACCTCCAAAGTTCAGTCTTAGAAGTTTTCTGCTTCTCACCATCTCTCAAAGATGAAAGCTTGAAGTGCTGTTTATCTGATGGGGGCAGTTTTGGTGTCTACCAGGTCTTCCAGGTGGTTGTTAGGAGACACATTTTCTCTGTAGCTTTTAACTCCTGAAAAACGAATAACTGGACACTAAATAAATTCTTACTTTTGCACAGTATATTAGGTGGAGCAGCATTTAAGTACAGTGTGAGTGTGCTGACCTGGCTCATATTATCTGTCAACACAGATTGGCCAAAATCAAAATAATACATTTTGTCAATCACGCCTTTGTAGCAAAGTTAATTCCGATCGTGGCTGATTTCCATACGATGGCGAGACCCTAGTGGGTTTAAATATTACAAACTAGATCCCAAAAGAGATTTTAAGATACTTTATTTAAAAAATTGAGTTTAATTGGGACATTTTAATTGGGAAATAATAAATCATAAACTGTAATATTCTGACAGTAATTTTTTTGAGGCATTTAGGATGATAATTTTATTAGAACTTTTTGATGTTCTACAGCTTCCTCAGTCATTTTTGAGTCTTCTACAGCTCTGTTCATCATTCTGAACATATCTAGAGCATCTTTGTTTCTATTTACGGCTTCTGAGTGTAATAACAATGATTTGAAGTGAAGCTGTAGAGAATTAACATTAGAACCATTTTAGACATTTTTCTGCAATGAAATTGGGTTTAGAGTGTTGAAACATTGATCCCAAACTTTTGAATGGTACATTCTTATGATGTTTCTTCAAGGGTTCTTTAGTAAAGAAAATGGTACTACATAGAACCACAAACACTCAAAAGGAACCCTTTGCATGATTAAAGGGTTCTTTGCATGGTGAAATAGTCCTTCAGATTGTTGGAGAATGTTTTGTAAATGGTGCTATATAGAATGTTGTTTGAGAAGGGTTGTAAATAGCACCAAAAAGTGTTCTTCTGTTGTTGTGATGTCAGGCTTATAACAATAGCAGAACCCTTTTTAGTGCTATATAGAACCCTTCTCAAACAGGTTCTATATATCGAACCATCTAAAGCACATTTTCCTTCAATCTGAAGAATGATTTCATGATGCGAAGAACCCTTGAATAATACAAAGAACCCTTGAAGAACCATCTTTTTTAGTGTAGTGCATGTTATTGAATGGAGCGTTCCTCCTTGATTGTTCTACATTACACACTAAATGTTGTAATTCTGAAGAGCAAATAAGCTTAAAGAACTGTTTACATTCAATAAATCATAAACTTTAAGGGGATAATTTAACGCTGCTTGTTCTCGTCTGTCTCTCTTCAGGCTGGTAGATTATTTTAAAATATTGTGAGTTTGATTGAGGGATGATTTTAGAGCTGCAGGTCAGTGATGACCAGAAAGCAAAATGTCCATTCTGCCTAATTTTGCTGTTTGGGTATCATAAAGAGTTGGGAAAGATGGGAGACCACAGAAAAAGAAAAAAAAAAACACTTATAAAAAATAAAATAAAACATAATAAATACTTGAGTGATACATGATAATAATAAAAGCTTTATTATGAATGTACATAACATATTCTGCACTCTTAAAAAATGGTTCTTCTGTAACGCTTGGACAGAAAACCAGACGCGTGCGGATGTTGAACGAAGCAGTTTTAATATACACAAAGTGGCCGTAGTCAAAAAGGGGAAAACAGAGCTCGTAGTCAAAAAACAGTCCAAAAGTCAAAACACAGATCATAAACACCAGCGAAAGTACCAAAGAAATAGGCAAGAGGCAAAAACGAAATCAAACAAAGCAGAGGGTCAAAAACACGGTAAGCAATTGTTGCCGGCGGCAGACCTAGGGGATATCTGGGCCAGCAGCAAGTGGTACGCAGGCTGGGCAGCACTGCGAACCTATGGATCAGTGGAGAAACGAGACAAAAATTTGTGTCTAGTTGAAGCCAGCGCAAGTTTATATATATATATATATATATATATATATATATATATATATATATATATATTTGTGAGCTGTATAAAAATTCTGTATATAAACAAAATATAAAACATAATACTAACACATATTTATACACATACATACACTGACATACCACACACTTTCCCAGACATACTTCCATTCCAAATGTACTACGAGTAATGCAGAGCTTATAAAGAGGAGAATAAGGACAAATAATTTCAAATAAAATCTTTAGCTTTCGATTTGGTTTTGGTTTCGATTTTGGTTTTGGGTATAGTTATCTTTATAGTATCTACAATAATATAACAAAGAAATTGGCTTTGATGTAGTACTAGTTCATACATTCGCTCAACATTATCTCTACACCATTACTTATCTGCATTCACATAACATTTTCAATACAACAGCATAAAACACAATAAAACACATACACAATACAGCGAATTCAGCTTAACGCTGCTAGTTTCAACTCATACCTTACAGAACAGAGATAGCACTGTAGACTACTTAAACTCCATGAGTTGCGCTGATATAAGGCTTCTACTACTCAAGAACGAACAGTTTTTAACCTCGAAAGAGACAAAATACATCAAAAAAATACATCAGTACGTCTATTCACACTCGTTTGTGCACAGCGCTAGTGAAGCACATAACATGGTGGATATAGCTCCAGAGAAAACAAGCCAATGGCATTAAAATGGCGTCTCCAACTCTCCAGTGTAGCTTTACAACATAACCCAA